TTCTTTATCACACGAGGTATCTGCACTCGACTCGACGAATCTCCATGGATGCGCATATATTGCTCCATTCACGTACATTGGTCAAGACTCCACCTACAACTCCGTTGACCCGGCCTCAAAGGATTACTTTTAGTGAAAAACCTTGTGATTTGAACATAGAAGCTGCTCAATTAAAACTAAGCGCTTAACCATTCAGCCAATTCATTAGGAGTTTCTTTATCATCTCCTTGCACGTCTTTCTAAAAAGGTGTCGGGTTTGTTTCCGAATGACTTCTTAGAATGCCGCGAATATTATCCCATTAGTGAAGTTAACATGGGAAGTGAAGTTCCTCCATGATTAGCATTCGCAGGTAGACCAACTGAGGAATACATTTTCCTAGGCAAATATCTAGGGCTATTTTATGTTATCCTCGTAAGAAGAACCCGCCTCATTCTCCTTCACAAAGCTTTTCTATGGCATGTTGGCCCGTCGAATCTGTTGTAAATGGAAGTGAACAAGAGCAGCTAAATAGAGCCTGGATTGGATCAGGACAAACAAGTCGCCCCCAACAGATACAGTTGTCTCTCTCTCTCTCTGCGAAGCGCAAAGTGGTCATGGAATGTTGGTGGATGGATGATGAGGAAGGAAATAATTTAAAAGACAACATATGAATGAATGAGTGAAAGAAAGACAGAATCATTCGAGACCCATGATGGTTCTCACATGGCTGCTCTTTTCACTGCAATATAAACTATATTGCTCTCTGCAGTCACTCACTTGTCCCCTTATCTTTGCTTTCTCAAGTTCTCCTCTCACTTCCAACCAACCATTCATCATCACCCATACCATTGCATTATGCCTGCCTGGAAAATAGGGCTAGAACCCTCTCATTGGTTTTCTCTTTGTCTTTTGTTCTAAGAAATTATTGATATGACCAATTGAATACTCAGATGTAGACAAAAGTATAGCTAACCAACCATATCTTGAATTTCTATTCAAATAAGATATACTAACAACTCAAACTTCACGGTATATCGGTTGCACACCCAATTATAAGATGGGATTAAGGGTGGAGTTCAATTTTCCACATTTTTCTTACAACACTTCTTTATGTGTGATGGTTATAGGTGCATACATGACAAGACAGTATAAGTTTAAGAGTGGAATCGAAAGACTACCCAACCCTTAGCATGTTTTAAGAATGTAGATTTGAGAACCAGGCCAGCCCGTTGAAGGGATGTTCATGATACTATACTTAGGAATCATGATTTTTCTTTAGATTTTTGTTCAAAATTTTTAGTTGATCAACCCAATGCGGAGACAATTGATTAATTGGCATAATTTTTCCTCGGAACTGATGAGTTTTAGAAAATCAAGTTAGTAAACTTTTCTTAGTAAACAATGTCTTAAACAAATATCAATGGTTATTCTATCTTTGAACTAGCTGAGAGCCGAACCAGCCGGTTCTCCCTAAAATTGGCTTGGAATTGGATCGATCATTCGAGTTCCCGCTTATACCCTAAATCTTAACCCATCTCTTGTCACGCATACCGGTCATTATCTGATTCAATCCCATGTTACCTACTTATGATCCTAATAGTCTACAAACCAAGGGAGTGTTCAAGACATAGTAAATACATCATGTCATATCCTTGTTTTTCTCAACGATCATCATGTCGTATCCTAACAACTACATTTTTTTAGAAAAGTGGACATGATCTCGTTTTGTCATTTTCCAAATCTCAAAGTAAGCACGCACGTCATCATTTATTTAACGGTTTAAACTTTCGCAGAAGAGGCAATCAATTCCCAAACTTCCAAAACTAGCATGCTATTGGTGTCATTTTATATATCAAACCCTTCATCCACCCACACCACCACCACCGCTTTCCTAAGATTTCGTTTGGATTTTGCTTAGATTTCCTTCAATGGCGAACTCTCATTGGGAAGGAGACAGAGAAAAAGGGCGGCTACAACATAATGGAGGCATGTATAGGCTTTTGAGCCCTTGTCCTCCTTATAACCAGCAAGTGGTTGAAAGGAAAAGGGTTTGAAAATCGTCACTCACAACTCTTTTAAGGTTGGTTCCATGATTTGCTCAACTCGCCGCTCTATATTCTTTTATTTCTGAGATTGGCGCGGCATGTCTCCTTCGCTTCATCACATGCTTCGTATGCACCATATGCCATCCATCGAACCCCCATCATTCTCGTACCCCCTCCGAGGTCGACACATGGGTCCGACATCACAAGTTAGCGAAACCGTGTCGAAGGTACGTGAGGGCGGGAAGAACACCTCACATGCATGTGCAACGCATACATGCATTGATTTATGTGGGGATATCAGATGTCGTGCTACGAGCTGTACGTTTTGTTTATTCAATTATGAGTGTGCTAGGGTTACTAGTTTTGACAATCTTGAATTGCATTAAGATATTTCATTCTTCGGTGACATCTGATTCAGCTGGTACCTGCAGTATGCCCCCTTTTGGGAAGTAGTTTATCTTATACGATTGGTACGATAAAGGGAAAATGATGAATACGACAGGAGCCCTTTTCTTTTGGGTCGAAACATTTCCGGGCACGAGATCCGAGTCCACGGGACCGGCGTAGATGGGCTTGCGAGGGGTTCTTTCACAAGCTGTTGAAGTTTTAGGAGATTTTATATGGCGATCCGAATTGTGACTCTTTTGGGCCTTGCAGGTCTCTCCTAATTCACAAGTCCTGCTGTTTACTCAATGGCCTTTGGAAGCGGCAGTCTGTAGTAGTAGGAGATTTTCTCAGTCCTGACCCGGGTCCAAACGTGAGACCCGAAGGACCGATGGCCGCGATGCTTGGTCTAGCGGATCCGGGTCCACGGAAGAAATTCTTCCGTGATGGGTCGACGAGTTTCACAAATTGCGTGCAAACATTAAAGGGGTTGCAAGAAAGAGAGAGAAGCTTGATTTTGGAGTTCGGACAACGCCTTATTACATACACGGTCATTGCCTCCAGCACCGTATGATGCAATCACAGCACCAGAAGCAAGTTAAGTTAGTTCGCCGTTTTCATTACGGTAGATACGTAACATAGCGATTCCATTCAGCAAAAAGATTCTCATTCAGATGAGAGAGAGAGAGAGAGAGAGAGAGCCGCGGGGGGGGGGGGGGGTGGTGGAATGGGATGGCAGTGCCTTTTACCAGGTTAAAGTACGTGCCTGTACTAGAATTTTCAACTTTTTCGTGTCATCTCGATGCTGTGTATCAGTATCAGAGCCTTACGAGTCAAATGCAACAAGAATTGATAGGAGAGTTTCGTTAGGAGCACAAATAACTGAGGCAAACAAGGAAACTATGAACAGTGAAACAGGTTACGTGACTCTGCAATTACAGTTAGATTCTGCAATAGCCCGCCCACGCACAGATCTTTTCAGAACCCAAAACCTAAAAAAAAAAAAAACGAAAGCAGAAGAAGAGCCTCATTTTGCAGGCCTATGAGCTATTGACCACTTTGTGGTGCACAGTAAATTTCTTTGCTTTTTTTTCAAAAGGAAAAAGAGGAACCAGTCGATATTTCAGACTAGAATTCCACTCCCATTGGCTCTGCCTTTGTGCAGGGAGAGCATATGATTCATTTCTCTTTACAAGCAACTAGAATTGGGAGTCTCCAGTTAGCTAGGCTTCGGCATTTGAGTGCTTGACATGGTGGATGCTGATTCAAAGGGATGGAACGTGTACACTGTGACAGAGAAACGAGAGGGTTAGAAAAATTTGCGGAGGATAATGAATTCATTCATTAAGTTTTTTTGGTTTTGGTCATGAGAATGTGCATGATTCACGAGAGCGTCAGAGAGGAAGGATGCTGAGGTATCTTTCCCTTTTTGAGGACACGTCGCTCCAGAAAGGCAGATGGGAATGAAGGACGACAGAGAGGGAGTGTAAAAGTTTTGATGCAGCAAGCAGCGGATAATTTGATAAGCTATGAACCATAAGAATCCTAGCATTTGATTTATCCATCTTTTGGGCGTTTGGATATTATTTAGAGAGTAGCACAGTGTCTCGTAACCAGGGATACAAGTTGGCATGTCGGTTATGAGACACTGTGCGAAGCACAGGCCAACCTACAAGAAGCCTAGACTTCTTCTCTTGTCACCCCAGACACGAGAAGCTACTATACTAGCTCTACCCGGAGATAACCAACAGAATGCTAACGTGGAGTCTACTTTCTCCACCCAATAGGCCCCTAAGTTCCCTTCCAATATTTATCTTCTTAGGAGAGAGGGGATACGAAAAGAACTTATAGGGAAATCCCTCCATCATACTGGAGAATTCCTTCCCTATCTTCTCTTGAGCCTTTTAACGACCTGCTCAGATCCACGAGGCACGAGCTATTATTTCTGTCGTAATAAGAAGACAATTGAGAAACTTTCCAAGTGTTCAGGTTATGCAAAACCGGGGTTGTCATTTCAATCAAATCACCCTCCTTGATTGGTTTTTCCTTTTTCCTGAATTCCTCAGCGGTTGAATTGAAACTCACATGGCCTTTGCACTTTTTCTTGAAAACAGCCTCTTTCACTTTTCCTAGTGTAACTTTTCCTAGGAATCATTAGTTTCTTTCCCAGGAAACTTTTTCCCGAGAATCTGATTCCTCGCTGTGCTGTAATTGTGCAGTATTCCCCTCCTAAGGGTTCTGTCAAAGTCTTCTTTACATTTTCACTAAATTACTTCCCATCAAAGCTTCATTGGCACCTTTAGCTTCAATAATTTTGCCCAAGTGTAAGTACTTCTTTTACTCCACACGTTTTGTCATGTTATGCAGCTGGTCACGTGAGAAAGATTTCTTTTTCTTCTCGCTTTTCTGTTCTTGTTTCCCTTTTCTGAAAGAAACGAAAAGGGGAGAAATTCTCTGACACTCGTTTCCTACTCCATTTTTCCCATTTCTCAAAAATAAATTATGCTTTTTTATGGGATTTTCATTACCACTTTCCGCAACATGGAAAGAAACCCAAGATTGAGAATTTGAACAACCCAATCTTAACCCCTTTCTATTGACAGCAACTTGAATTCCAATAATTATTCCAAATTTTCACGCCAAACCCTTTCTGTTGACTGGTTCACTCAAAAGCCCTTATTTTTACAGTGTTGCAGGCTCTTTCTTGGGCTCGTACACAATCTTCACTCGCACATAACATGGGCAGAGCAACAAGGTGGATTAAGGGCCTGTTTGGCATCAAGAAGGACAGAGAAGAGTTGGACAACAACAACAACAACAACAAGAGACAGTCCAGCAATTCAAGTGGGTTGTGCAACAACCCTGCAACCATCCCACCCAACATATCTGCGGCCGAGGCTGCCTGGTTGAGGTCTTGCAGTTGCACTGATGAGGCAGACAAGGAGCAGAACAAGCGTGCCATCGCGGTGGCGGCCGCCACAGCCGCTGCTGCGGACGCAGCGGTGGCGGCCGCGCAGGCAGCCGTGGTGGTCATCAGGCTGACGAGCCACAGGAGGGGCGCCATGTTCGGCAGCGGGCCCAAGGGGCATGCCGCTGTGAAGATCCAGACAGTTTTCAGGGGATATCTGGTGAGTTTTCGGCTTACGCATAAGAAATGTCTTGGAGCTAGAGAACGTGAATTATGATGAAATCCCAATTGAGCCTTTTGAGCATCCTAAAAAGTACATTTGGTGGGTAATCCGAATAACTTCAATTTCATTTGCTCCATTAGCTTAAGTAGTTAAATGCGTCGCGAATTCACTGAGTTGCAACAATGCAGTCGAGCGAAATGCGAAAACACTCCTTTCTCGCATTCGACAGTAAGTTTGATTCTTAGAATGAGAAGAAACAGGAAATGAAATACAACAGCAATCTCACGTGTGAAGTGTTCTGTTTTATCATCATGCGAAGTTTCTAGCATCGCATAAAGATGGGATTTTTTTTCTTTTCCTTTGCCCATTAACTACTTCAACTGCTGTAGAACTGAAATGGCGTTCGCTTCTTCTTTCCTGAACTCGAGAAACCAGGCAAGAAAAGCACTGAGAGCACTGAAGGGGCTGGTGAAGTTGCAGGCGCACGTGAGAGGGTACCTGGTGAGGAAGCGAGCGGCGGCGACGCTCCATAGCTTCGAAGCTCTCATGAGAGCTCAGGTCAGCGCTCGCCTGCAGAGATCAGCAGCTCGCAGCAGCGGAGGAGGAGGAGCAGGAGACGACGCTCGCCGGCTCGGGTTCGGGACCCGGAAGGCGACCCGCAAGCCCACGGTACGACCCGAAACCTTCGCAGTCTCGTTGAATGCATACACCACTGTGAGTGAAGCTTTTGCTTCTGTGTCTTTGACAAATTACACCTCGGAGAGACGATGCGCACAGACGGTTTTCAACTGGCAAAAAAACTTGGTCTTTCCTTTGGCCGGTAACCGTTAAATTAGTTTTCCGACCAGTAAAACCGTTAAATTAGTTTTAACTGTGCGTGTCCCCGCGAGATGACACATCGTGTTTCAATGAAATATACTTGTTCTTAAGAATAATATCTTTTATTATTAAGCTTATGTACTACTTAAAAAAAAAAGGTGATTTTAGACCGAACTCTGTTAGTGCAATCCGTGTTAGCAATTAGGGTTCGAGACCGGTACAAACGTTTCTTATTTTAGTTTCGATAGCACGTGTTCCATTCACCGAATACACATAGCTACATGTTTAAATTTCGTGAGTGTTAAGTTTTAGCTCTTATTTTATTCGGTCAAATCCTCTGACTTTCTTAATTTATGCAATTCGATCTTCTAACTTTTATTTTGTGCAATCAATCTTCCTACTTTTTTAATTTGTGCAACCAAATCCTTTCGTCAATTGCTCTAATCAAATGTCAAATTAATCGATAATGTAGCATTGCTCATGTGACGGAAAATGACATGTGATGTTAATTTAGCGCGAACTGATCAAAACAAAAATGGAAAAAATAAGGAAAAAGAAATTATAATTTGATTATTTGTATCATTATCTCAATTCTTTATGCTAAAATTACACGAAACATTCGATGACAAGACGAGGAAGGAACACGAGCACACACGCGCCGCCCCACCTCACGGCGGAAGGCTCTCCGCCTCCGCCGTCGACGCCACGGCACTCCACCCCGCCGTCGAGGACGCCTCCAAGATCGTCGAGGTCGACGATTGGGTCACGCCCTTCTCAAGCTCCGGACAGACGCCGCCGTGCCGGGCTCCGGCCGGGCACTCCCGCAGCTCCGACTGGCTCGACGACCCCTGGCCCTCCGCGACTCCGGCGAGCACGCCCCGGTCGATGTACACGCCCGCGAGGAGCGACGCCGTCGGCGGCGGCGGCTGCCTCTTCCGGCGGCGCGGGGGCCGCGGCCTCCTCCTGGTCCCGAGCTACATGTCGAGCACGCAGTCGTCCAAGGCGAAGCTGAGGTCGCAGAGCGCCCCGAAGCAGAGGGTCGGGGCGGCGGCGGCGGCGGCGGCGGAGGCGGAGGCGCCGAGGAAGAGAGCGTCGCTGCAGGAGGTGATGATGGAGTACGAGCGGTCGAGGAGTAGCTTGAGCGGGGCCGCCGGGGTGAGGATGCAGAGGTCGTGCTCGCAGGCGCAGGAGGCTGTCGTGTTCAAGAACGCCGTCGCGGGGAAGATGAAGATGGAGAGGCCGGGGGAAGAATTTGGAGAGTCGGAGAGAGATTGTTGGGAGAGAAGAAGATGGTGAACGTTTGCCTTGTGGGGCGAGCGAGAGAAATAAAAGAGACCTTGCTTTTCTCCTTTACTTTTGTTTTTTCCCCAGCTTTTCTGGATTTGTTTCATGGGTCAAGGGAAACAACTGATGTGTAGGTGCACCTGGTTCTTCAGAGTATCAGACTAATCCTGCCTGGATGCTTCCAGCGGTTTCGCTCTCTGTTCTACTCACGGTAACCGGTTACCGGATCATAAGGTCCATACTCATGAACGAGGAGAATATGCTGAGATATGTGTTCGGAATTGGATGTTTATAGATTGAATATGAGCAAAGCATTGGAAGTTTGAGGGGCAGAGAAACAATTGTAATTTCATTTGCATGACATGAAATGCTGTCCCACTGAAATGCGCCTTTGCATTTGAATCTGGTCGAGTTCTACTTCCGGCGACCCTGTTATTGAAATCAATATATGATCATGTAGAGTCTTTGGCTTGTTCTGTCAGGGCAAATCATACGCTTGGCATTTCGCGTCTTTCATGATTGAGATACGACATCCTTCATCACGTGAAAAGAAAACCAGTTCACTGAATAAGCTTTATTTTGCAGAGCATGAGTCTGCACAATCACACTCCAATTCCACCTCGACTGTTCTACAGCAGCGGAGAGACAAGATAGAAGCACCTAAAGATGTCGTATTGTCTTGTAGTTGTATCTCAAAACTCAACGAGATTTAAACAAATTCATTGGGAGAAAATGAAGCTAAATACTACAGATTTTTCTCTTGAGAAGAAGACAATGATGAATTGCAGACAAGCCTCGTAGGCTAGTACCATTTCACAACCCCATGTTTTTCCTAAGTTGAATTTGTTCCAAACAGAGGTTCGGTTACTTGTACCAGGAAGGAACAAAGACCCAAATCGTGGCCCTTTCTTGGAGAGAACTAACTGAACAAGACAATTCATGAGCGGACCATGTGCCAGGACTGCTATCGCAGCATTAGGCCCACTTCAATGTGGAAGCTTTCTGTGTCCGATAGCATCGGCTCCGGCGATCTTGCGCTGCAACCGAGGCTTATCCATCTGTACATGCTTAATACATTCGTAGCACAGTTTAAATGTTAACGGCAATGACGGTCCCCATCTTTTTACGATGCCCCCACTTCTCTGCACGTTTTATGCCACATTTGATACTGTCCTCATCACAGTTGTACTCTAGCACTCTCATTTCAACTTTGCTTGCATGCTATAGTTCCTAGTTCACCTGTATCCTTTGATTAAGCACTTGGTTTGAATTCAGCAGATCCTATATTAAAATCACAGCTTCACCCATTCATATTAACCTCAGGGTCTCGCCCACCACCCTGTAGGTGAAGCCTTACCCGATGCATGTGGATAGGGTACTTTGCTTGTGTCCTGTGTTATCAAAAAGGGGGCAAAACAAAAGGGATGTGTAGAAGGAAGGCTCTGATGCCACTTGCTGAATCAGAACCGTGGTAGCATCAAATATGAAGGCCAATTTTAAGCAACAAGTTTTAATGACATCCTTCTAAGGGTAATTGCCATTTTAGTATTTATTATATGATGACTATTTCTCACTGCTTTGATAGGAAATTTTTCTTGTCCTGGAATTAAACACTGAAGTGATTCTCACCCCCTCGATTCTCTATTTATTTGAAAGATCGGGTGACCCACTAGAAAATTTGTTTAGCTCTTCGACCTAGAGTTTTTCTAGTTAGAGTAAATCGGATAACACTTGTTAAACTATAGAGGATTTTGATAGAACTCTCTAAAAGAGCATCTTTTTCGGTATGTATACCGTATTTAAATGAGTTTTTGGGAATTCTCCCTGATAAATTACCCATCAAATCTCTTTAGGCTACAAATTTTGAACCTCTAAAGTTTCTGTTCAGGGGAAGGCCCTTTAGTTCATGACCTTTTTGCTTGTTTTCGCCACCTGCTCATTTCTACTTCACCCAGCCTATCTGACTCTTTTCAGCCACAGTTCGTGATCACTAGTTCTGCACTTGTGATGATGACTACAAGATGCCCTCATCTACATGATAATAGATAGATGACACTCATCGGTGCTTTTTCCTCCAGCTTTGCCTTAGGCAGGCTGAATCTGAAGGAAAAATGCTGAAGTATATAAACCAATTGATTGCAAAGTTCAATATGACAGCTGTCTATGGTATAGATCTCTAGGTTTCCAATTTGACTTTATATTCGAAACCGTTACCCACACTTTTGTCCAAGGCAAAAATAAGCGGCTTCAGTGTAACAGAAGTATTAACTGATGAATTATGAATAGCATTTTGTTTACAAGCTCAAGCCTTTGAATGATGGTGATCTCACAAGTTCTTTAGATGGTATCGTCACTTACTTTTACTCATGATTTGTGCTTTGCGGTTCGACTTCGACGCATTCGCTGGTTGAGAGTTTCTGGAACTGGAAGATGTGCATGAAACTGGCCTTGTGAGTGCAAATCGTCTAAGTTCTTGTGCTTCAAATCTTTAACAGGTGCGGTGTTAGTTATGCCTTTTGCTCGGAAATAGAACCTCATCCTGATATAATCTTTAATTTGTTTGGCATTCAGTTAGGCGACCTCTCAGTAATTTGATGAGAATCCTTTTCTGTTTCCGAGGGCAGAGTCTTTGGGTTCTCCAGCTTTTAGCAACTCGTGGTGCGTGTGAGGGTAACTTTCTGGATATCGAACTTAGTTGTTTCGATTTGCTTGATTATTTGATCTGCTTTCATTTGTCTAGAAATAGGGAGTCTGAAACATTTCCCAGCTTATTCAATGTACGACACTTGAATGCGGAGGGTGATAAGCTATTCAGAGTTGTAAGTACCAAATGAAGGCTTTGTTGTTGGATGGATGACTTAGTAGTTGGTATTGACCTCATCTCATTATTCAAGGGTCGAGTTTTGTCTGATTGGATTCTTCATGCGCCGGTATATGTAGCTTCATTCTTGTTAATCGAGGGTCCTGATCTTATGGCCTGTGATATCTTCCATCAGGAAATCTCGTGAGCTATTCTATGGTGACAGCTCGAACGAGGTTTATTCTAATCACCTGCTATTACAAGATTGTAAGTTTGTACTTCCATCTCTTTCCTGAAGCAGAGCTGGATATGTAAATTTTCTAGCTGAAAACATTAGTAGATTATGGCCCCATAAGCGCAGCCGTGTTTGTGACTGCACTTCAGCTTTGCCATATATTTTTTGCTTGTTGTCTGATCAGTTGGAGAAACCGATATAACAATGCTATGTGAAACAACAGATTTCATGATGTGGAAATCCAAAATTGTTCTCCCCAGCCGATCCCTTTCGCAAGATCAACACACTCTCGGCAGAAGAAACTTACTTTCGTATTTTGTTGAGTTTAAGATTATCCAGAGAAGCTACTCCATTGCCTACGTTGAATTGAAATCAGAGTGTTGCATCCAAAAGGTTGATACAGTTTCCTCTTGGGCATCACCACACCTCAGAATCAATACTTTTGTATAGCCTTCAACTGTCTCGTGATTAATCATTTCTGGCATAAACAAACTTTTAAACCCACTTAAAAAAACTAGATGCTGGACAGGTTTTCTTGATTCTATATCTTGGATAACGTATAATAACCCGGTAATTACCCCAAGAATCTGTCATTTGCTCAATCACTTTCGATGAACAAGCCCGTTAAGATCTCGCAATTCACGAGTTTTGGCACATTAATGTTAGACTGTCATTCAGCTCGCTGAGATCATGGAAATCTGAAAGCTTCCCTAAAACTACAGACTTTTGCAACAGAAGACGGTAAAATCTCTTCACAGAGCAGTCAATGAATCTGTCAACAAAAAAACAGAACAAACTTTACATTTGTTTCCTAACAAGTTCTAGGATTCTGTCCCTGGCAGGAGTGTTTTTCAACCATGGAAGGTCTTGACCACAGGGCTAGGATTCGTGGCAAGACTAGCCACTGAAGGACCTATCTTGCTCAGTGAAGAAGACGATAAAAATGAACCCTTCGAAATCGAACTCTTCTTCGATATGGTAGGCCTTGGGCTGTATGACTTCTGGCTATGTTTGTCCAACGCTCCTGCAAAGCTCTCGCACGTTTTCAACCTTTTCCTGTAAGGGTTCTCTTTCTTCACAAGGTCTTCTATGCTCTGGACTCTGGCTAGGGATGTGAATGACTGGGACTTCCCTTGGTAAAACTTGGAAAGCCCTCTCCTGTGAAATGATCAACAACGAAAGGGTTATTAACATTGCAACAGCGAATGGCCCACGAAACGAATTGCAGAGATGGGCATCTTCGCTCCAAAGAAGAGAAACTTGCTTACTTTATGGGTAGTTGGGTCATGAGCTCAGATAGTTCATACAAAGGCCCACGGCAATTTGACAAAGAGGTCGATGATGAGGAGGAGGAGGAAGAAGAACACAATGTTGAGGAAGATGCATCCTCTGCCAATTCTGATGATGAGCACGACGATGACTCATCAGACATCAGAGAGTCTCCCATGGAGGATTCAGACTCATAACGCTCACCCCCGCCTCCTCCACTCGCATCCACAAGCTTCGGATCCTCCGTGTCCCCGAAGCTCTGCTTTTCTCCACCCATTTTCGTCCTGATCATCACCAAGAACCCACCAAGACAGAACAAGATTGCAGAGAACTGTTGAACAACAACAACAACAACAACAACAACAATAACAAGAAGGAGGGACTGATCCAATCCGATCTCTGCAAAATTGCAAATCAATGGAGAAAACAAGAAAAAGATTTCTGGGTCCTCCTCTTCTGGGGGGTGAGCAGAAGCGCACATGTAAATGCAAATCAAGAAAGCACAACAAGAAACATATTTATATGGATAAACAAAAGGGCGTGCATCGGATAGCACTTGACTATAAATTTATTCATTGCGGCTTTATCCTGATGACTTGTCATCATCGCCCTCTTGCGGGATTGAATTGTTTTAATTTATTTCCAAATTAGGTGTTCTTTTTTTACTCGCACTACAAAGGAATGAGGATAAGGCCCAAGCCTCGGAACACATCCATGTCTGAGTCACCAATCTTCTCTCTCTCTCTTTCTTGTGTGCGTGGGGAGGAGATGGCGGAAACTTGGGTCGCTTTCCATGGCATCTTTTGCTTGCTTTTGCCCCCACAAGGACAAGATGGCACGATTTTCGCTTTTCCGTGTCCCCCCATGAAATTTGTGTGCTTGGCTCCATATCACTAAATCCCAAAAGACAACCAATTGATCTCATATGGGTAGATACCTGGGGTTTCGAGAGATTTCCCAGATCGGAACTGGAGATCGCCTGTTCGAATTTTTCATTAGCCACGTGCCAGCCGTCCTGCATCAAGATCACTTGCGCGGCCCAAAGATCCAAACTTCATAGCTTCACGGGGGCTGCATTGTTAGAGAAATAAATTCAAAATGTTAACTTTCGAGGTGTACAGATCACTTTCTTAAAAGTGTTATTGCCGTTATTATGGTGAGAGAAAAACAGAAAGCATGACATTCCAAGAACACAAGAAAGTTTCGAGAAAACTCTCCTAATAAAGCTGTTTGAAAAGTTTAATAACTTGTGTCGATGTCTTAAAATGAGAACTTCAAAATTGATCAAGAATAGCATTTTTTTTTCAATATGCGACTTTTAAGACGTAATCAACGCAGCCGTTGACAAGTCATACTTTTTCATGTTATATGACTCTTGGGATGCAATCAAGATGACTATTCACATAGTTTCTCAATAGATGATCCTTGATATCAATGAAAATAATTATTAGCAAGTGATGCTCTTTTAAGGACACCATGAAATGTCATTGATGATCGGATAATATCATCACCTTAACACCCCAAACAACTTTTCTTGATCAATACCCATAATGTTACAATCTACTTCAAACATGCATGATGTTCTATGGGCCTACAGGTAGCCTGATCTCTGCGCTCTTGCCTCTAAGTTATAAAACCCAAGATTCATTTTGTATTATTCAATTGAGAATCAAGAAACATTAACGGTTCTAATCTTTTTTTCAACCTTGTGACCGACTTTGCCAAAAGAGTCTACATTGGGAAAACTAGAAAAATGCATCAAAAGCCTTAAAATCTTTAGTTATTGCAATCGAGTCCCCGACTTTTTTTTTCCCCGAAAGCGCATTCGAGTCCTGTCGGGTAGTGTCAGAAATTGTTCGTGGGTCGCTCGAAAATCGCGCACGCGGCATCCTTAAATTACGTCCTTCGATATAAGTCGAGGAGGGGCTTGGCCGTCTTTTCTGCAGCTCCGCTTGCCCGAGATGAATGGCACTGTCCCATTTACTAGAGGCAATCTCTAGGCATCGCATAATGTTAGGGTTTATCATCAAAGCCCCTAGAGATTTCACTTGGAAATGCAATCGCACCGATCGGTTCAAGATCGTGATCTATCGCCCTGCGGATCGATGTTTGTGTTAGGTACGAATTCCACTTTTGTCAAAGCCACATAAGTTTTGGAGTCTTTGGAGATCATGGACTTTGTATCTTTCATTTTATATATTTGTGGCCGTCATGACCTAACTTATTAAAGATTTTTCTGAGCTCTAGGATGCATTTTCATGCCCTTCCCTTTTGCTTATATAAACAATGGACAACCATCCATGTCCTATTCAAGAGAGCAAAGAAGGAAAAGACCAAAAAGGATAATTAAATCGTGAAGCTAAAACGGTCGGGCCGTGTTTGTCCTCCAAACAAAACGTGGGTTCGGATAAAGATTATCCTATCCGGCATTTTAAGAAACCTTCGGATCCGAATAAGTTTGGATAAATCCAGGAGATGATCGTATCCGGTGTTTAATAGGGAAAATTGTCCAAAAAGTCCTAAACTTATTATACATTTGCCAACTTAATTATTAACTTTTTCACTTTTTGCCAATTAAGTCCATCCGGTTGGCCGGATTTCGCTGACGTGGACACTGGCCATCCTACATGGCAAGGGCAACGCTGACGTGAATAATTTTTAATAATATATTTAATATTTTTTGAATGTTTTATTAATTTGTTCATTTTTTATTTTCTTTTTCTTCTTTTATTTTTCCTTTCCTTTCCTTTCCTTTCATTTCTTTTTCTTTTTCTTTTTCTATTCTTTTCTATGTTTTTATTAATAAACCTTCGGCCGGCGAAGTTGCCGGCCAACCATCGCCGACCACAAGCGGCTGGGCGTGGGCGTCGCAGCCCTTGCCAACCACAAGCTAAGGCCTCCACGACTTCGCAAAGATCCAAGCGTGGGCATCGCGGCCCTTGCCTATATTTGGGCAAGGGTCTGATAGCCTCACCTATGGCCGATGAGGGCCACAGCACCTGTGGCCGACGGTAAAAAAGAAAAGAAAAAAGGGAAGAAAAAAGAAAATATTTAAAAAATAATAAAATATATTAAAAATTGTTCACGTCTGCGTCGGTCGTGCCACGTAAGACGGCCGGCTAATCAAAATTAGTCGAATAGACTCAATTGGCAAAACGTGAAAAGATTAAGGACTAAATCGGCAAAAGTGTAATAGATTTAAAAAAATTTGGACAATTTTCCCGTATTTATCCAAACAAGAGAATTGGACATGACGAAACTTCCCGCACTTCATATCCTTTTCCAATCCTCACGCGATTCATCTCCAGGCGAACAGACACGCTGTGCCGGACATGATTTTGACCCGTGCCATGCCAACTGTCGGTTTCGTGTGCTCTAACGCGGTCCCAACCCCCGCGACCCGCATCTCTCATTACGCTAATCATTTCGTCGACAATGATAATAGCAAGATAAGCATTTTGGTATCGGTCGATTCAGCACGAGATGAGGGAAAAAGCAATGTAGATTCATATGGATTATATAGGATCAACAGCTCATTTTAATCCCTCCATCCTCACCAAAATTATAGGTGGCTAGTTAGGTGGATTGAGCAATCGATAATGTCTCCCCTAGGGGGAAACTAAAACGAGGCCTAACGACGTTTGGGATCGTGGCCACTTGCACTTTGTGACATTGACATTGGTGCTTCGAAACCAAATCCCATCCTATTTTCAGGACCCTGGAATTGGTGGGGGGACGATCGGGTCAATGTCGGCTCATCCTCATAAGTATCTGTATCTAGTCAGCATTGGAATTGGAATTAATTACACGCAACCTAGGAAGCCCTAGACACCTTCTTCCCCTCGCAAAACCTCAGAAATAATTATTGATCGGGACTCTGTCCATTTCGCGAAAAATAAATGATTTAGTAAAATATTTTTTTCAAAAAAATTAATTGCATGTATCGCTTGAATCAAGCAGTCGATAGAAAATATTTTCGCTATCGACAACAGTTTATGTCCAAACATTTTCGTGAACAGTTGAAATTGTTGTTCATTCGTTCATTTTTGCAAGCACTACGAGCGGTCGTTTTTTAGGAAATGTGTTTTTCAAATAATTCATTTTCTGCGAAACAAATGGAGCCCGAGAAAATGGTTGAACTGCACAATTTATGACTAATAACTGATCCCCAAAAGTCGGAGAATTTAGACTAGTATAAATTTTGAGAATTTGTTTTGGGTGTCTTGACTCTGCTCAAATTCAACGATCGGAGCTCTGCGTTGTACATATCGTCCTATGGAAAAGGACATCACAAGTATCATGATTTTCATACGGTGCTCACTTGAATGCCGTACTTTTTTCGATTACTTGAATATTATATAACTTACGTACAACGCTCATTTGAGTGCTATAACTTCTTTTTTTTTCCGATCACTTGAGTGCCATACAACTTTTTGTTTGGTCACTTAAGCGCCACAACTTTTTAAAAACGTTCACCACAAGTGCCATGCCATATCAAATTTCCGACACTTTGGTGAACATTTTTGAAAAGTTATGATATTTAAGTGATCAATTCAAATGAACGTTTTTTTAGAAGTTATGGCACTCAAGTTGTCGTGACGCCGTACGAAAGTTATGACACTTATGGTGTACTTATCCCATCAACCTAGTATAGAATAGAATAGAAAGAAAATTTGCATGATTGTTTGTTAGAACAAATCAGCGAGCGACGCATAACCTCGTCGAAGAGGCATGCGGGAATAATGTTGTGGTAGATCATAAGCCAAATCCATCGTCAAAAGAATACGACGATAAGCATGAAAGAGATGATAAGTGTTGATTGACAGAAAAAGGAGAGCAGGATAAGAATGCACGCCCATGTGCTGATCATAAATAACACGATAAAAACGATAGACGGGTCTTATTCAGAAAGGAGTGTAGTAACCTTTATCTAAATATGTACAGTGAATTTTTTTGGGAAACTGTTCAAATGCTTGTAAACCTATTATACGGTGATCAATTCGATCCTAAAATTTTCAATCGCGTCAATTTAATCCTAAACATTTTAATAATTTTGTCAATTTTGATCAGAAATCGCTAAAATGGCAATCTAGTCGGCCCTGGCTGTCCTTCGTGGCACGGTTGGCACTGAAGTGGCCAATTTTTTTTAATTTTTTTTTTAGCTTTCTAAATTTTTCTTCTTTTTTTCTTTTTCTTCTCCTTTTCTTTTTCGTTTTTCCATCCGCCAGCCTCTGGCGTGGGAGGGACACCTACACCTGGGCTGGCAAGGGTTGCCCTCGCCTGGGCAGCCCACGCCTAAGGCCGGCGAAGGGGATCCTCGCCCGACTACCCTCGCTTGAGGCCAACGAAGGAAAAAAAGGGGAAAAGAAAAAAAAAAGAAAAAAGAGAAAGAAAAAAAATTAATTGTCCATATCAGCGTTGGCCATGCCTTAGCACTTATGGCCGGAAGAATGAAATTGACAAATTGTCAAAAAGTTTAGAACTAAATTGACATAATTAAAAAGTTTAGAACTAAATAGATTTAAGACATTTCGAACAATTTTTTGTCAGCTACATGTTAATTCAATTCAAATTTACTTCACATTTAAAAATTCCGATGATTTTACGACCATCACTCACGATTCGTCGAGTAAAACAAGGAGGTAGATAACTCCTCCCCAAAGGAATCAATTGTTTACATGATTTTTCTTATTGATATTCTAATTCGGAAATTGCATTTTGATGGGTAGGGCCTCATCAGAGGCTAATGGGAGATGTGTATGCTTTCCTAACACACATTATGAAATTATATGTTAGTTTTCAAATACCATTCATCTCCATCTTAAAGTTCTCTGGTCTCGGAAAAGTTTTTTTTTTTATTCATCCCCAACTGCCCAAGATTTAATTTTTTTGATACAATTCGAGAGTCTTATCTAACTAAAATTCTTGCCATGCTTTACAGAGCAATTCTTCGAGCATGTATTAAGACTAACACTTAGATCTGTCAAAATAAGAATAAGTCATGAACCCATTTCTTAACCCATATATTAATAAATGGGTCATAAATGGATTAATTATATTCAAGAAATAGGTCATAAGTGGGTATAAACATATATGGGTGTTAAATAGGTCGTAAATGGGTCGTAAATATGTTATAAATGGGTTTACAACTTATTTAAACTCAATTCATGTCTCGCCCTTACTTAATTTTGCGCTCACTCACTCTACACTCTTATCTCAATTTTTATATATTAAAGTGGTTTAGCAATATGAGTCGGGTTGAGTATGGGTTGGTTATGTGTTGGGTCGGGTATGAGTCATTAAATTTTCATTACATGGAAATGGATCAAAACGGATTAAATGAGTTTATTTGGGTCAAACTATTTTCGATCCGACCTGCCTGTTTGACAGGCCTAACTACACTTCCACAAAATTCACCAAGTCCAAAGCCTCCACACGAACTATCAAGAGCACACTTGCTCGAGAAAATTGCAGAATGTGAAGAGCCTATGCTTGCGATTAATGTAACTGGTGAGCTTCTAGCGATATTACTAATTGAGAAGGTCACATAGGTCAATTTCAAATCACGTGATTTGAACTCGAAACCGAACCCTTGATTGATTTAGTCGGGCCTCCGACACGAACACGATCCATAGGATTTCATAGTCATGTCCCTCGAATTTTAAGTTTTGGGTTGCATAAATCACTCCCTCCCACTCCTTACAAAAAGTTAACTTTTAGTGGGAAGACGACCAACAAAAGTTTTAAGTTTGCTGATAATTTGTTAGGATAAAGCCTCTTCTCATGTTTTCATGTCGAATCGTGTTTCGTCAAGAATTTTAAGTGCATTAAAAAGGATGTGTTCTTTTCCATATGACTAAACAGTGAAGTGGATAGAGAAAATAGAGAGAGAGAGATAAACGGAAAAGAATGAAAAAACGAAAACTGAGTCTGGATCGTCATAATTGTGTACTAGTGTATTCAAAACTATACTAGAGATCAAACCGGATTCCTAAATGGTTGCAATTAAACCAAACCGTATTCAGGTAGGCTAGTCGAACCCGCTAGTCTGGTCCGATTTTTGAATCAGTGCTTTGCAACGAATATTATTTCGTTTGTTTTGCGAAAAATAAATGATTTGAAATATATTTTCCTAAAAATGATCATTTACAATTGCATCATTTGAAATAATTAATCAATGAAAAATATTATCATTATCAATCAACAATTTATGTCAAAACATTTTCATTAACAATAAAAATATTTTTTGGACAAATGATCATTTTTAAGAAATTATTTTCCAAAATCGTTCATTTTTCCGCGAAATAAATGCACCTTAGTGACCATATGGACGTAGTTAACTCACCCTCTGATCTGTGTGTGAGAATCTTGGGTACGCTACATCTATGCATACACTGTAATTGTACATCCAGACACCATTTACAGGTAATTCTAATCGATCAACCAACTTCAAAGAGTCTCTTGTGGATGCAGATCGAGCCTATGCAAAACGCTTCAAACTTCATGGCCAGTATAGCATCACAAGTTCCTTAACTAAGACTAAGAGCTATAGGGAATAGAATTATTGGCCATGAATGGTAGATTTATCACAAGGGGAAATGTTTTTACAGGGCATAACAGATAGAAATATCACAACCACTATGAGAAAATAGATCGTTTAAGTGACTTAATCTAGGTGGTCCGATGATACCGTACTGAAAAATGTATGCTAACCCAAAAGCCACTAGTAAGTCAGTAATCGTAATGCAAAATCCCATAGATGATGAGGTTTTGGCAGGAAATACGCTGATTATAATTTCTGACATAAGACAATTTCTGAAGGACCAACTGAGAGAAATCCAGTGTAACACGACACGAACATGTTTAACATGAGAGTGGCCGGTTGTCGCTCAGGATTTTTACAAAACCCAATCCTTTTATCATACTAATTAAAAGTTCGAGACACGACATGGGTTGTCACCCTAGATGAAACGGGAAGTGTTTGTTTTCTTACCTATTGAAAGTAGTAAATGACCCATGGGATAATTAGCCACACCCTGGACAAGCAAGTAGATTCTCAGAACAATTCGATTTCATACTTTTTCTACCTTGTGAATGAGAAAACAAGTGCGATTAACATATGCATGTCTTAAAACGGGGAATCTATTACAATCCGATGGAAGTTGTATGGCCTCCTTCATTAAAAGTTGATCCCCATCAAATTTTAACCTAGAAAGAGTAAGTTTAGGCAGAGACGTCGCTGCCTGGTCCTTACACCATCAACCGACACAAACCCATGGAAGAGAGTACATGAAATGACCAGTTCTATTAGATACATCAACAGAGTAAACTTTCGCAATTACATCCAATCAATTCAGATTAATACAGAGACAATCATAAGACACCATAGAAATCAACTCTCAAGCAGCAAACTTCTAGAGTGCGCATAGAACTTTCAAATTACACGAGTATTGTTATCATTGCAATTCACAATCCAAGTAGGGCAATTGCTAGACGCAAGGTTGCAATAAGCAACAGGGATTCCAACAAATAACAGAACATACCGAATTGTCTAGAGACCCTGCTCAATTAGATAATCGCCAAGCCTTTCTACAATGATGTTGCACTGGCCTGCATTCATGGGCTCATCGTATATGCCAATTATCAAGGCCTGACTGGTCTTCTTGACAGTGACACCACCGGGGCCCTGAAAGTAAAGCCACAATGGTTATAAAGAATACTTGACAATGGAGAATAAGAACACATATCGTCGAATAGCAATGCCAGAGGTTTCCAAATGCATCAAATGCTCAAAAGTTTGCTTTCAAGAGCACCATGCCATATATATAACAACTACGACTAGTCAAAGTAACAGAAGTATCCTTCGATAACCTGATCCATTTATTCTCTAGAGCATGCGATATTTCCTTGACCCTAATCCCTAAGTCTTTGATAATGCTGCAAATCCTTACACCCTCTTAAAAGGAACTTCTAATGTTTAGGGGCCCCAAATAGTTTGGACATGGTAAAAGCCTCCCGATGATCTTCCAAAAAGTAAAGAGCACTATATAAGTCGATAAGGTTTTTCAAGGTACATCGAAAAATGGAGGAGAAGAAATCATAATATAAAGTTTTTGTCAACCATGTTTGCACTGGATCAAAAGTATGAGACTCGACGGCCGTAAAACATTTTCTTGGAAAAGAAACAACTCTTTCCCATTGACATTGCATCACGGTCACAATTTTCAAGAATACGGAACTCTAAAAGTTGCTAGATCAGATCAACAGATGAGGAGGAACAACATGCCCAGTCCATCCTAATTTCGAAATCAATTTGTCTCAATACCTCAATTAGGAGAGAAAAGGTCCCCCCTTGAACATAAAAATGTAGCAAAAATCGGTGCATGCGAATGCAAAAAGCTTTGGCTTAAGCAGTCAGCAATGGTAAATAAAGGATGGATGGGAAGCCGCACCTTTTTCCCTCGAATAGCAGCTCCAGGCTCACCTTGGATCACCATATATTTCACGCTCCCCAGGAAGAGCCCCGTCGGAGCAAGTGATCCGGGTTCGTCGAAATCTTTCATGATTGCAGCAATTTCCTCAGGCTTGAACTAAAGAATCGAGCAACGGAATCAGCATTGCACAAAAGAAAGAGGAACACGGAGAGAAATTCAACATCAGCCACTTCTCATGGGCAAAAAAAGTCACTTTGAAAAGGGAATCGAAAGCCCCTATACGGGTGCAGCTGCCCATCAGAGCTGTGCAAAAATTTTGCAACAAGAAGCGTGAGAAACACTCGTCCCAAATCATCAAACCACTAAAAAAGGGACGGACAGAACGGAATCTAAGCAACCCCGGTTTCTTCTTCCTTTTCTCTCGTGAAATCTAAAGCCACCCTGCCTAAAACACGATCCCCAAAAGCACATGCCGTATCAAACCCCCACAAGAACCATCGCCCACAGACAGCCGCCCCCAATCATCCATCGGAAACCCTAAACGAGATCCGAAACACCCATCTCCAGCTCGGAAACATCCGCCCAGATCGAATCGAAACCCCACAAATCGATTCACGCGAACGGAACACACGCGCACACAAAATTACCAGTAACACACGTCCAGACAAATCAGATCTCGGCAAGAATCCGACCCGATCAGAACGTTCTCGAGCCCTAAGAAACGGCCGAATCGGGGAGAGAAAATCAAGAACCCCCGGCGGCGGCGGCGATGGAGGAGGGGGGAGGGGGGGGGGGGAAGGGGCTCAAGACCTGGGGGAAGGTGGCGCTCTGGGCCCAGACGCTGCCGTCGTGGCCGATGATGGCGGCGGCGGAGAGGTGGTTGCCCTCGATCTCGCACATCAGGTGCTCGTCGACGTACGTCTGCCACGACATCTTCTCCTCCTCCTTCTCCTTCTTCTCCTCGCTCGCTCGATTCGCGTCGTCCGCGCTTGACCTTGAAATGCTCCTCCTGCTGCTGTAGCTTATAGCTGAGGGGAGAAAGCAGCCGCTGTTCTTTTGGTCGGTTATTTTTTAATGGTAGGTTGGAATTAAAATTAACACCCCCCCAAATTTTTATGGAAAAAAATAAAATGTATTAAACACCCTTATCAATTCTAATAAAGAAATTAATTCGATATCTATATATAACACCAGAAAAATAGAGTTTTCAGAAAAAAAGAAAATGACACGTCGGAACATTCGTTAACGAAATCCATAAAATATTATTTTATAGAAAAAATACCTCAAAAAATCCCAAACTATGCCGCTTGTGACAAATTTATCCTGAATTTTTTTTTTACACGAAAAACCCCAAACTATGCCACTTGTGACAAATTTACCCCGAACTTTTTTTTGTGACACGAAAAATCCTAAACTATACCACTTTGTATAGTTCAGAGTAAATTTGTCATAAGTAACATAGTTTGAGATTTTTTTATAGTATTTTCCCTATTTTATATCACCCTGTCGGACATTTTTAGTGCCTCCGATAACGTAGAGGAAGCAAGCGCTATCTGGAATCCACCCAACTTGTGATGGCCTGGAGTTGGGTAAACTTGCTCATCGCCGAGCGATTTTTTTCGTCAGTCCATTGTTGCCCATTTTGAGAAGAACGAGCTTGGAGAGCCGGCCGCCAGTAATTTGTTAGGCGCCTTTAGTTCCCAAAACCCATCAATATACAAGTTAGATGAACAGACTAATCTCGTGAGCGAGTTTTGACACCCCGGTCTCGTGCTTATGGATGTGCAACCGTCAAAACTCACAATAAGCGGTTTCTTGATCTCCCATTCTCTCTCGTTTAAGCTTATTCGGTGTTCGTTTGTCGACCTGTCGGCGCATACATTAGATTTTTATGCAATTAGATTAATATAAAATGAGGACCAAAAATCAAAATTCGAGGTAGAACCAAAAAATAAAATAAAAATTGGAACTTTACAATGGAAATATTGGCTTTTCGAGTGTTGTCAACAGGGCAAGTCAAGTCAATGCATCTAAATCTTATCAAACAAGGATTTGGTGATGTGAAGTGGCAAGTTTCGTCGGCAGAAATATTAGCAGGAATGATAATATCACGTGGTGGGGGCGACCAAGATGATGTGTTGAATTTGAACGTTTTGGATTGGAAAATCCATTTGTTTTGAATAAAAGTATTCTTCTATAAATATGTAGAGACAAAATTAACAGTACGTTTGTTTCGCGAAAAAATAAATAATTTGATAAATATTTTTTTAAAAATAATTGCTTGTATCGCATAGAAAAATGAATAAACGAAAAATATTTTTCATCGCCCATGAAATATCAAGACATAGATTGTTGTCGATAATGAAAACATTTCTTGTTGGCTAATTCTTTCGACCGATTCGAATTATTGTTTTTAGAAAAATATTTTGCAAATCATTCATTTTTCACTAAATAAATAGAGGCTAAGTTAAGTTTGTCGCATCCAATGATTAAAATTTTAAATTCTCACATTCACTAAAGTTTCGTGTCATATTAATGGGGTAAGTTACCGGCATGAGAATTTATGCCCTTGGTAAAAAATTTACGTCCTTGGTAGACAAGGAAACGCAAGACAAAACCATAAATATAAAAACAACATTAATTGTTACGTTAGAAAGATAATAGAAGAAAAAGTGGATGCTCGCACGTCACTCTCTAATGAATAATACGACGGTATATTCCCTACATTATGAGCCCACTAGTCCACCTCATTGAGCAATTGGTATGTTAGGATGGGTTTGGTAACTTGCCAAATAGTGATTGATTCTATTTTTTTATTTTCGGAAACAAAAAAAAAATAGAAATTCGTTTAGTAATTTTTTTGTTCCCGGCATAAATTTATTCCCAAAATCAGTTTTGAAACAAAATTAAGAATCAAAAGAAAGTTGATCCTTAATTATGAAAACAAGAATTAGAAATATAAGAGATTTTTTTTTTTTTTCTTCTTCCCTAGCTGTGGCCAGCGGCAAAAAAATAGACCGCCTGGCGACACCCTTCGCTAGCCTAATTTGTTCGTTCCCCATGGCCAAGAGGAGAAAAAGAAAAAAAAAAGAAAAAAGAAAGAAAGAAATATTTAAATATTTAAAAATATTACTAATAAAAATAAATTTTGTGCAGTTATCAAACACATTTCTATTCTTTTACTATTCTAAGAATGGAAATTTTGGGCCATTAGCAAACGCCTTCAAATGCTTAAAAATTGTTTTAGGGAACAGAATAAAAAAAAATCATTTCGGAGTAGAAATTATTTCCGGGAACAGAATAGTTACTAAACGCACCCTTAGTGTTATGGAGCAAAGTATAGGCTTTCCTATATAAAGTGATTGTTGACACCTAAATTTCGACCGACCATTTAATAATAATTTTCATAGAAAATTGGGGATTAAAGTTTAACCCCTAAACAAAAATATTAAAATTGCATAGCATATAGTTTAAGTTCATATAGGTTAGTTGCATTTCGCATCGGACCGGCGGTGGCGAAAGTTGAAAATTCATCGCTAAACCGAGCTTGAGCACTCGGCTCGCTCAAGGAATTGGGGGCCAAAATTCACAAGTCTAAAAGGCTTTGGTTGTTTTAATTTGAGCTTAAGTCAGCCCAAATTAATTTAGCCCATCTGGAATTAAAATTAAATTAAATGATAAAGCTAAGTCTAAGCCCATTAGGACTAGGAAGCTCGGTTAATTAATTAACCTTGCGATATAAATATGTTGTCATAATTGAGGGAGCTCTCGAATTTCCAGAACACAATTCTTAAGAGCATGAGAGACACACGTGAGGAATAGCGAGAGCGAGAGAAACGAGCAAGAGAGAGAAAAAGAGTCAGTCGCGTGCGTGTGAACCGCCGTCGCGCCGCCCTTCCGTCGCTGCTCGTGCCGTCTGTCGCCGCTCTGCACTGCCCTAGGTGAGCTGCCCCCGCTGCTCACTGCCGCTCCGCACCGACGCCAGCCCCAGCCCCTGCTGCTGCTGCTCTGAGACACACCGACGCGAAGCTGCTCTGTCTTGACCTCCTTGATGACGTTGCCGCGCTGCTCTGTCCCTATCAACATCACTGTTGCTTCCTGACTCGTGATTCCTGCTGAGCCGCCACACATTGAATACATGGCCACAAAGAGAGATCCGCGACATTACAGAGAAGAAGAAAAGCTTGAGAGAGATACGGTGTTGGGGAGTATCACGAGTACTTTCATCGGCAAACTTTCATTGACGCTCGTTAAGTGATTTCTCCTCTCGACGAAGCTTGTCCTCTCGATCTTCCAGGCATTGCCGGCCACCCCTGTCACCGTCCCACGGTGGTCCTAAGAAACTTTATCCGATATCGTTTCAAATATTTAAATTCCTAATTCGAATGATTTTGTTGTCTTTGGTTGATTAGTAGATATATTTGAATGATGCATGGCATATTCGCAAGATTCTAAAAAATACACTAAGTTGGGAAATTCCTAACTTAACAACGTGTCGGGACGACTATCCGATCTCAACCATGAGATACGATACTGCACGGAAAATCTTTATCCCGTCCATTACTATATGGATACGATAGTAGATTTTATTTTGTTCCCAAATTCAAACGAATAGCCTTTCCATCAATATCCATAACCACATGGATATGATCGCCGGTTTATATCGTTTCCCTAATTCAAAGATAATAAAACAAATCTTGCGGATCGCGTGGATTGGTTTTGATCGTGGTGGTTATCCGTCTGTTTAATTTATTTCATTTAAAAAGAAAATTCCAAAAAAAAGATTAGTTAGGATTTGAATTGATCTTATTAGAAGATAATGATGCATGTTTAGGATAGGTTTAGAATAACTTTCTTTGAATAAGTCGATAGGATGACTTTTTAATTTAAATTAGGAATTAGAGTAATTTATTTCCTAGTTTAATTTAGCTATTATCCTAATCTCGATGGTTCATTTTAGGGTAATTCTTGATTTCAAATTTTCATAAAATACCAAAAAGAAGCCACTTTAGGATAGATTAAATTATCTTTTTTTTTAGAATAGATTGCATGTTAATTTAGGCATTTTTTAAATTCCGAATTTCATTGAAAAAATACCAAAAATAAATCATTTGTCTGTCATTAATTAGGTCACGTCGTCGCATGACATATAGTTTGCATGTTAGGCTGCATTAATCGCGTGTTAATTTTTGCACGTCATTACATATAGGTTAGCTTTCATTTAAATAAGTGAAAATCCAAAAAATATTGAGTGAACTCGCTTGTTAATTAGAAATCATATTAGGATTGATGATGTGATTTTCTAGCTAACAATGCGATGCTTGACGTTGCTTCGAGGTAAGTAATTCTCCCAATATTGCAATTTATTTAATGTTTTGATTATTGGGTGTTACTTTGGTGGTTTGCGCACCCGCATGATCACCTCACATGCTAGTGACTAAGTTAAAATGGATCCAGATCGCATGCATAAATATTTTTGAAATGAAAAGGTACTCGAAATGGCGTTAGACTAGATCTAGCGTAATCAAGTCCCGAGTTTAGAATCTCTTCGTAGGAATAAAACATATCTCCTATGTTTTATTTAGGTTTCTAATCGACCTACCACAAATAGATTAGTGGCGACTCAAAGCATAAAAACATTTGCATGTCAAAAACTTAAACCCTAAGTTGCGAATTGGTAGGGCTTGGGAGGGCCGAGTTAGGTTTAGTTTAGTCCTAATTTTAGGTCGCGAAGTGACATAGAAAATTATAAGTGCTCCTTTGAGTGATTGAGTCGAGCTCGACAGTTTCCATTGGTTCGTTGCATTTCTTGATATACCAATTTGATAAATCAATTTCGATAAATCTGGCATTAGTTTTAGCGACAAGAATAAACCCTTAATTCACATTTAAACGATTTTTTTGGGCGCATAAGAAAACCTTTTATTGCGCAACTAAAATGGCAAATGTAGGGAAATTTACCGAAAAAGTCATAAATCTATTGCACCTGTGTCAATTCAATCATAATCCTTTCGATTTGACAAATTTAGTCCTCAAGCTTTTGATGATTTGTCAATTTAAATTCCTAAAAAATAAAAAAAATAATTGGTTTTTGTTTGGGTTGTTTTTTTGTTGTTTGTTTGGTGGGGGGGGTTTTAAAAAGAGCGATTTTGTAATTTTTCTAAATTTTTTATTCTTTTCTTTTCTTTCCTTATTTTCTTTTCTTTTGTTGTCCAAGTCTAGGCCCATGACCCTTGGCCAGATCCAGGTAAGGGCTACGACCCTCATTGGCCTAGAATTGAAAAAAAGAAGAAAAGAAAAGAATAAAAATTATAAATTAAAAAAATTGTCCACGTCAATGCTGCCCTTACCATATAGGACAGTTGATGCTGACTAAACCACCTCATCAATGATTTCAACCAAAATTGGCCGGAATGACTAAATTGGCAAATCGTGGCACAATTGAAAGATTCATGACGAAATTGGTAAATCATCAAAATATTTAGGATTGAATTGGCTCAAATGCAATAAATTTAGGATTTTATTGGTAATTTTCTCGTCAAATGTAAAAACATAGTTGTGATACTAGGATAAATTCTTGAAAAATGAAGGAACAATGCTTGCAACATTGCATTCTCTTACTCTTGTCACCAGCAAACACATCGATTGAACATCATGCTGAACTACCATTTTTTTTAATAAGTGCATTGGAAGTCTTAAAATTTGTTATGAAAGTGCAATTAAGTCCTAAATTTTTCAAAAAATGCATTCAAGTCCTAAAACTTTTAAAAAGTGCAATCAAATCCTAAAACTTGTCATGAAAATTGTAGGACTTTCAATGCACTTTCGTACAAGTTTTAAGATTTGAATGCTTTTTTTGAAAATTTTAGGACTTAATTGCACTTTCATGACAAGTTTTAAGACTTCTAATACATTTATCTCTATTTTCCTTGATGCTTTGTATTTACGGGATCTATTAAAACCACCAATGTCCCGACTTAGAATACTCATGAAGGCATAATAGAGCCCATTGGAGTTAATAGCCTGCTTTCGAAACCATCCCCCGTGCCATCCTTCCTTCTCCCCCTCTAGGCTTTCTTCTAGGAGAATAAAAAGCCCTCACTAGGATTATCATTGTCGCGACCCTCTTGAAATGAATCTTGGGTTTGACGAATTGCTAGGCAGACCCAAAGAAGGAAACTCGAATAAGCCTTTTGCAAGATTGCACTTGCATTGCGCACAAACTCTCACAACCCCTATCAATCGCAATTTAGCTTTTAGATTAATAGTTAACGAATTGTTTTTTAAGAGTCAACACTAAACTGTTATCTAGGTCAGTCGGGAACCTAAGAAAAGAGTGGGAGATCGCTTCAAACCAGAGATTCTTGGATTCACAAATTTGATTATGCTAGAAAGCCTAACGCCTAATTTAAACTGAAACAAATGGTTCTTTAAAGCCTATTAGGCTTTTTCTGTCAAATGATAAGCAAAAGATGGAACCAAATGTCCAAATGGGAGCATTCATCCTAAAATCATAACATCATTTCGTATTTAATAAGCAAGATCCTCATGCAGATTTCTTTATTATTCTTACATTTTCCCTTGCAAAGAAGTATCCACATAGAAACTAGGTTCGCTATGGCATTTATTGATGAATGCAATTTTGTAAGGATTGGGAACCGGTTTTATGGATCCACCTGGGTGGTTCCGATTCCAATTTTTTAGAACCAGTCCTTAGGGGGCAATTCCCGGTTCTAAGGTGAGAATCGCCCACCCGAACCATGCTCACCCCTAGTTGACATGATGTACAAATGACGTTGTTTTGACTAAAATTCTTGACCAAAAGGTTTAGGGTAAATATGTCACAGTGGATATAGTTTGTGATTTTTTATGTCACAATAATTGTTTAAGGTAAATGTGTTATACTGGGCACAGTTTGAGATTTTTTGTGGCTTTTTCCCACAAATTTAAGATAAATATGTTTATACGACATAACTAACAATCTTGCTACCAAATCTTTTTTCTACTAAAAAAGAGAGAAAAAATTAAGGGCAAAATTCACAAAAAACCCTAAACTATGCCCATCGTAACACATTTTCCCCCAAATTTTTCTTTGACATGAAAAATCCCAAACTTGTAATTGTGTGGGATATTACCCTCCGTCAAAATTCTGCCAGCGAGAACTGTTAAAAATCTAGCTATATGGACGCTAGAAAGTTATTAACATAATGCCCACGTGACTTAAGTGAAATAAAAATGATATTATTTTCACTGAAAAATCATCCAACAGAACCTTGACGAAAGGTAAATGTATTTTCGAGTTTGAGAAAAATTAAAAATAAATGTGTCACAGTTGATATAATTCGATATTTTTTATGTTACATAATTTGAGATTTTTTTGTCATTTTTTCCCAAAAATCAATTTCCTTCCGGACAAGAAGCACGTGCGCGTGCTTTCTCTCTCTCTCTCTCTCCCCCCTCACCTGTACATTATTTTCTCCACGGTGTCCTTCCCTCTGTCTCTCTCCTCACCTGTGGATCATCTCATCTACAGTTCTCTCTCTCTCTCTCTCTCTCTCTCTCTCTCTCTCTAACTCACGGACCTTCCGGCTCCGTCGATGGCGCCTCGCCGATTACTCTCCTCCCTCTCCCTCCTCCTCCTCCTCCTCGACCTCGCGTCCGCTTCCCCGTCGCAACCGCTCATCCGCCTCTACTCCGGCGGCCGGAAGTTCCTCAGGGACGACGGCCTCTACTGCGAGAGCTGGCGGCTCGCCGTCGAGACGAACAACGCCGGGAGCTGGACGCAAATCCCGTCGCGATGCGAGCAGTTCGTCCCGGCCTACATGACCGGCGAGCGCTACGCGTCGGACTCGGCGGTCGTCGCGAAGTACTCGTCGGAGTTCGCCAAGTCCGTGGAGATCGCCGGGGACGGGAGCGACGCTTGGGTGTTCGACGTCGACGAGACCCTGCTCTCGAACCTGCCGTACTACGAGGCCCATGGCTTCGGGTAAGTTCGGCCGTGGTGGCGATGATCTCGTCGCCCGCCGCTGGATTCGCTGATTTCTTCTTTGACTCGCGTTCGGTCCGGTGATGTGTGGTCCGGATGCGTTTAGCCTTTTCCCCGTCCCCGGTTGGTGATTGCTTATTGGTTGCTCTGCCTAGGGATCGAACCAGTAGGATCTCGAGACGTGGAAACGTGTTCCTGGAGTTAGATTCGTTTGACGGTGGAGGCTCACTTTAGTTGGTGAAAGGCCGAAATATGGTTATTAGTCTACTCTGTCGTGTCTATGGCATCCTGAAGGTGTTACGAAATTACAAGCTTGAGGGTCCAAAATTCATCTTAAGATCGAATTGAATGAGCAGTTTAACAATTGCTGTTACCCTTTTGTATTTCATGATCAAGCTTGGTCTGATGTTGCTTGACAGAAGCAAAATTACCTGTCTTTAGCTCCGATTAGCACGACCCGAATAAGTCTATGCTTATATCTCGAGCTTTTTCGAATGCACGACATTTCGGGTAACCCGTTCCCGGTTTTTGTTTGATGTACTGGAATGATCCTTAATCCTGATACACTAGGCTTGGAGACAGAGTTGAGCTCTAGAGGATGTTACTATTGGAGAACTTCCCTAAGCGAAGATCACCTGAAAATTTAGAAGCACTTACTAACAAGTACAAGCTGAATGAGATTAGTAACAAAGTTCAGCCGCCGAAGAGCTCAGCAAGCACTTACTCGAAGTTGCAAATAAGTAATTTTGTTCTTTGCTTTTCGTGATTGGATAGACAAAAATGCCACCATCCCTTACCAATTGGTTTAATTTGCCGAGTTTGTGCATTACCTGATTATGGTGTTAACGTTGCTGTTTTGAACCGTTCAAAATGTCGTCATGTGGCTGCTGGTGGCATGAGCTCTATCTGAAAAAGAGTCCAACCATAAATTGGATTATGGAGAAGTTGTGTGACGCATTCTCCTCTTTCATCCACTTAATGAGTTCAATATTTATTCTTAAAAGCATTTCTTTCTCATTTAGGAGGAAGCTTTGACCAGCTACATGAGATGAGAATGAATAAAGTGAGTCATTTTGATTCATTGTCTTATTTGTTGCTCTCATCTGTTGTTTTATTGGGTTGAAGTAAAATCCTGGTGGTTGTGACAGTTTACTAATTTTTTGAGGGCCCGATGTTTTTCTTTGGTGGCTTTTGATGGAAGTAGTCAACCCATGTTTTCTTTGGTGGAGTATTAAGAGGTTCACTTACTTACCAGAAAAGATAATAACAATAAAGTCAGTCTAGATGTGATGAACAAATCCACTTTTATGCTTAGTTTATTCTTGGATGATATACTACTCGAGTAACTTCTCCAATGTTCGGTTCATGCTTCGAGTTCCTAGTTGGTTACAGATGTTTGCCAAGGGGTGAGGACTGATTTGGATGTTACCTGATCTAGTTAGGACTTGGGAGTTCTTTTTCTTCCCTTGTAATAGGGTAATTGTCCCAAATCTGGCTCATAGTTGTTGACTGTTTTATTTCAAACGTAGATCAGAGGTCTTTGATGATAAAACTTTCGATGATTGGGTGGCTTTGGCCGACGCCCCTGCTTTACCTGCAAGCTTAAGTTTGTACAAGGAGCTTCAACAGCTGGGTTTCACGATCTTTCTGCTGACTGGGCGCAGTGAACATCAAAGAAACGTTACGGAAAAGAATCTTCTATATGCTGGGTACAGTGACTGGGAAAGGCTTCTCTTGAGGTAAAGTTGTGAAATAAAGATCCTGTTCTCTAGCTTTCAGCCCTTTCTTGGTTATGAAAGAAATATTGTATGCTGCTTTGTATTTTCGTACATTTGATTTGAACTTTTTCCATTCTTTATAATGAAATCAGGAATGCTGACGATCAAGGCAAACCTGCAATTGTCTATAAATCAGAGAGGAGGTCTGAATTGGAAAGCCAGGGTTATACAATTCATGGGAGCTCCGGAGACCAGTGGAGTGATTTGCTAGGTTTTGCTATTGCAAAACGGTCCTTCAAGCTCCCGAACCCTATGTACTACATTTCTTGACAACAATGATGTCAAAACTCTGAAGCACGAGAACATGGACGTGACACATTGATTCGTATTGAATGAACATGATTCTTTTCTGCCCAAGTCATTCGTTGTTGCCATTGCCAGGCATTGACTTAATGTTTTTCTTATTTTCAATAAGATGAACAATGGATTTACCCTTTATTGTGTAGTTTCTTGTGCACACGCTCTGTGTAAAACCTATTTCTACACACCATTGGTGTTTTGAGGGTGAAGTACCCGCAAACTTCAAATGTGATGATGCAGTACACCGACCATCTCATAGTAGGTTTATATCCTATATTTCTTAGTATTGATGAAGAGCATGTACATAAATAACGTCTGTTTTTTTCAACTATGTTCCCTGTATTCGTAGGCTTGGTGTGAACTTCCAAATTAATAAAAAAAAAAATTCTATGGTGCATTTCTTTTTGCAGAATTTGTGAAACTTGTGTCGTCTCTGACCAAGGAATTCAAAACCTTCAGAATTTCACATATACTCCTGAATATCAGGCAGCTCTGAAGATAATCATCTTCATGCTAATGAACTCAAATTTCCAAGCCCTCCCTCTCTCTTCTGCTTCCATAACTGTTTTATTCCTATGTTGTGCGAGTATCTGCAAGACGCAACATGAAAATTTCACTGGGAAGCTGCGTTATGTATTGTTTTTCGGTCTCTATTTTTTGTGCCTTCCTGGTTGTGCGGTTTCTTCTTGTTCCTCCTTTTGGCAGTATGCGACTACGGAGCTGAATTTTGGGCGTTAGTGTTTCTACTATGGATCTGTAAGTGTAACAATCTAAATGTGGTGGTAGTATTTAAGAAAAATGGCAGATGCGCCACAAGACAGTACAAGGCACTCTTTTGACAAATGCAAGTTGTGATTATTTAACTGCCTTTCCCAGTCAATAAATATTTAACGTGGTGTACTTACACATATATAACCTATAGGCTCACAAAACCCCGTTAATTTCAAGACATATCTTATCCAGTACAGCTCCCACGAAAACTATTGTATCAGAAAATTAAGACAGTATGCTCTGAATCATGACACTCATTAATTGCAGACAGCCATAACCAACTCACAGCTCATGGTGACATGGAGGTCAGATCTGAAGCTGTCCCAGAGAGAACAGCCATCGTGCCACAAACATGTGGCTGCACCGAAGGTATTCTTAGACAACTCGGCCCTCCTCCTGGTGTGGAAGAACACTCTGGTTGAGGCCTCTGCATGTCCTTATTAGGAATACAGTTGACCGAGAAATCGAAGCCCACGCTCCTAAAGAACAGCTTCGTGCATTCCTGGCTCAACTCAGACAGGAAATTGTAGGCCACTGTCAAGTTCATGAGGCTTTTGAGTGAACAGACCAGGTCGGGTAATTCCCCCGATAGCTTGTTGTGCCCCAAGTTCAGGACTTCGACCTGGCTCAAGCAAGAAAGCGTATCGGGCAAATGACCTATCAATGAATTGTAGCTCACATCGAAGACTTTCATCTCTGTGAACAACCCGATTCCCTGAGGAATGCATCCTGATAACTGGTTATTCAGAAAAAGAATCTCCTTCAGTTTGGAGGCCATCAGACCAAAGCTAGCCGGGATGCTTCCGCTGAACTTGTTATTGGCCAAATTGATCACTGAAGCTTGAGAATTGCCTAGGTTCTGAGGAAGCTCACCTTCAAAGTTGTTGTTGTTGACAAATATGGCATCAAGTTTCCTGTTGAAAAGGTCTTCTGGTATTGGGCCGGAGAAGCTGTTAAATCTGAGGTCTAAGTAAATGAGATTTGGCATTTCAAGAACAACTGCAGGAAAAGTGCCTGAGAACTGATTATTACTGAGGTCTAGCTCTTGGAGAGAGGAGAGATCTCTGAGAGTGTTGGGGACCGAGCCTGAGAATCTGTTGCTGTTGAGGTGGAGGAGGGTCATGTCAGTGAGCAAAGACAGCTCTTTGACAAGAGTTCCCTGAACATTTGCCTTGTTGAGATCTATGCCTGCAACTAAAGGACCCATTCCATCTTGGGGATCTGAGCAGAACACTCCCTTGTACGAGCACACATCAGAACCAACCCAAGTCTCCATAATCTTGTTTGGATCATCGGTGACGGCTGATTTCCATGCCTGAAGAGCTGTGTAGGCATTGCTCAGCCTTGAACCTGATGGAGCTGGGGCGTTGATCCCTCCACCAATCCAGACACTGCCCGCTCTGCCTCCACGCCCACTGCCAACTCCAGCATCACCGCCGCCCATCCCGATGCCGACTCCACCGCCGACATATGCTGCTTCAATCGGCATTGCCAGGAGGAGTAGAAAAGCCAAAAGCCAGTTCTCCATTTTTCCTTAGGCGTGGGTGGCTGCAGCCTGCGAGGTGTGTTCTGTGCCTTGGTATGCTCGCAAGGTTGTCCACACAAGTCTTGCTCAGTGGAAAGGGGAAAACGAGTGGTGGGGTTTTAGCTTGTCGTGCATTTGCTCCTGTTGTTGTCTCTACGAGGATTTCTTGATTTTGTTCTCTTATTTTTGGGATTCCATTATTGTGTAGTTCTATTAGATGTCTTGAACATTTAATGATGGACAGGTAGTTGAGTCCAGAATTTAACCACACCATGAACAGCAAAGTTGCTGTATAAGTAAATTTCATGCAGAGAGAGAGAGAGAGCGAGAGAGAGAGAGCAGCAGCAGCAGGAGGAGGTTATCTAATTTACTATCGGGAAGGGTTGCATCATTCAAGATTGCCCTTGTTCTGAAGTAAATTGGTTCACCAGAGAGGAAACAATTACATTGAAGCGTGACCGGCCAAAGAGGTCGACATCAATGGCCTCTGTCGGGCATTAATTCTTTAGTATACTACCCAGTGTCCTCAAAACGGGTTAATATGACTCGATGCAACTATCACTATTACCCACTCACGTGAATCGCCAAGCATGCACTACGTTTGTGTATGGAACTCCTACCCCACACGGCTCGCTTCAGAACTACACATGAACCGAAGATTGTCAGACAGCATAAGCATCCGTAAGTTCAAAATGAAAAACTCATCCTGACTCTACGTCGGCCGGACGATCACAGTATGTACTGCGCTATCGCGCCCTACATCGCCGAGACGAAGGGCGAGATGCGACGGACCGCAGGCACGTCCGGTGATATGGAAGTGTTCCCCACGCTATCAGTGCGAGGGAGTGAATTGTGGGTAACAGAGTTCATGATTGGGGGATTCAAAAAGAGAGCCTTAAAGAGCAAAAGGGCAAAGGAGAGGGGGGCCAAAAGAAGAGCCTTGATGTGATCAAACCAGCAGAAAGTGGCGCAACAAAACGCGTGCTTTCCTTGAATAGTAATGGGTGGCAGCTAGTTTCCATGGTCACTGGGGACAAAAAATTATGCACACATGACACAACCTACCCCTCAAAATAAATAATAAAAAAATGAAAAAAAATAAATTTGAGGGACTTTTCAACTGTTGGCCAGAAGAATTCAGTTTTCTCTCTCTTGCTTACTATAGAAATATGTAGATTTTTTTTAAAATTGTTTTGGAGTTCCTCTCTCCGATAAAAAAATCCTACGTAGCTTAATAACGGATTTATATGATCTTTATATATATGCCTAATTTCCTAAAAAAACTCTTAACTTTAGGTTTAGTCCAAATTATGCCATGAATTTCTTTTGTCTCAAAACCCGAGCTTTAAGTTCAGTCTCAAACTACCCCAAATTATTTTTTGTCTAAAAAAAATCTCAAATATTAGGTTTAGTCCAAAATTTGTCTCGGAATTTTTTTTTTAAAAAAATCACTAACTTTAACTCTAATCCAAAATCTGTCTCGAACCTTTGTTTGTCTAAAAAATAAAATCCATTTTCAATCTAGTCTCAACTAAGTTTTTGTTGACTCTCCGTCGAAAAATCTGTATTAGTAGTTTGACCTGGCCTTTCTACGTCGGCAACAAATCCACGTCAGCAAGATGACGTAAAAAATTATCTCCGAAAAGAAATCGTTCTTTGATATGAAAATCAGGCAATTTAGGGACGACTAAAGGCGATTTTTGGACAAAGGGCTAACAAGGGCAGATTTGAGACAAGAGTTAAAGTTTGGGATTATTTTCAAGACAAAAAAAAAGTTCGGATAAATTTAGGATTGAACCTAAAGTGTGAGGTTCTTTAAAATAAAAAAAAATTCGGAACAAATTTGGGCTAGACCTAAAGTTGTGCTTTTTTTTTTTAGACAAAAAAAAAGTTAAGATTAAAATTGAAACTGCACTTAAAATTGAGTATTTTTTAGGGATTAAGCCGTATATACACGTAATCTTCTTCCCTCCCTGTCAACTTAAACAAAATGTGATAGAAGTGAACATTCGCAACTGTCGTGCCTTGTCCGAAATTTCTTCCGAAGCAAAGCCGTTTCGTTTGCTCTGCCTCGCCGGATCGAGCGGCATGGTGAAGACCGGCGAACCGAACGGCGCCGGGGGCGGCGGCGAAGACGACGGCCGCCGCGACGCGCGGCGGGTCGCGAGGTTCGACGGGAAGCGCGCCTTTGTGGGGGCGGGCGCGAGGATCTTGTTCTACCCCACACTCCTGTACAATGTGCTGAGGAACAAGCTCCAACCCGAGTTCCGATGGTGGGATGAAGTCGACGAGGTATCGGAATCTGTCTCGGACCCTCGTTTCGTTGGTCGTTTCCTTCTTCGATTTCGAAATTGCGGTTTGAAGTTTGGTCTGCTTGATTTGTATGGCTGCGGGTGGTGATGGGTTTGATTGATGAGATACGGTGGCATGGTTCATGATGTGTTTGGGCTCTGGTCTCTTGAATTTGTTGACTTTTGTGGACCCTTCTGTCGGGGGGCTCATGTTGTATGTACTGGTGGTGATCTAGAAGCTCATTTCAATTGCAAGGTTGGAGTTTTTGAGCTTAAATTGTTGAAACCGTGTTGCGAATGATAGTTTCGAGTGTATTTTGATTGGAGACTTGGAATTTCATTGTCTTTTCTGTTCTCGACGCCGCCCGGAGCAGAATAGATTGGGCAGAGTTGATATGGTGAAGAAAAGCTGTTATTTTCTGATATGCTATTTATTCGGGTCAATATATACCAGTTTCTTTTGTTAGGCGCAGTTCCATTCCGCAAGGATGTTCGGCGGTTGAAGCGGCTTGGTGTTGATGGTGTCATCACTCTCAATGAACCTTACGAAACCTTGGTTCCATCGTCGCTTTATCGTGTCAGTGATCTCTTTCCTTTCTTTCTGGGGTTTCCGGCCCATTGATTAAGTCATGTTCAGGGTCTTTAATAGTTTCGTTGTTCTGTGCTCGTCAGGATTATAAAATTGATCACTTGGTGATACCTACAAGAGACTATCTTTATGCTCCTTCTCTTGATGATATTGACCGGGCGGTGGCCTTTATTTATAGTAAGTAATCCTTCACAAACGTGGTCACAGTAAATGCCGTGATGCCGGCGATCTGGTTCTGCTGTCAATTTGATAAAAAAAACTCGTTTTTTGTCCCAACACCTTGTCTTGTCTGTGATTCAGGAAACGCATCTTGTGGCCGAAAAACTTATGTTCACTGCAAAGCTGGGAGAGGAAGGAGCACAACAGTTGTGCTCTGCTATTTGGTATACAAGGACTAAATTAAGGATACTGTCGGTTTGTTGCACACAGATCAACTGTGCTTATCACTATTGGCTTATAATTGAGGGTGACATTGGCTGCTTCATGTATTGCAGGTGAAGCATAGACACATGACTCCTAGTGCCGCCCTGGAATTTGTGCGTTCTAGAAGGCCCAGAGTGCTGCTAACTTCCTCTCAGTGGAAGGTGAGAAGAACTGCTTATTCTTCTTCTTGTTCATGCCTATCATTACAATCTTGATTATGTAATGAAGTTGCATCACATTGAAGGAATTACTGGACAAGTTACATTTTTGTTTCTTCAATTTAGGGTTACTTTCACTCTGGTCAGTATACTCTTAAGTGGTTTCAATCCACTCGCTTAGTTAAGCATTCTTTAAATGAGTAAAAGAATGCTGATGTGCCGTACCCTGCTACACTATGATTCATTGATAAGTGCCGTGTTGGCTCCCATAAAGTGCCGCTAAAAGTTTTTGTTTCTTAAAATGAGTTGATGGGTAGTCCTGATCTGAAACCACTTCCATAGTAGGTGACCGGGCGGAAGGTCGACCTGATCTAGAATAGTGTCAAAGTTAAATGATCGACTTCGTAATTTTCACAAGCTTTATGTCTGTAATTTATTCTACTTATTTTACATGACTCTTTCCTGCATGATGCTGCTCACATCAGGCTCAAAGGCTAGATCAGTTGCTTGCTTGAATAAGATTTTTATGCATAACTTTTGCTTTCCACCATTGTAGCGATAGTTATATCATTATGTTGACCACATTTCTGAACCCTAGTACAAAAGTGTAATGGTGGTGTAAAGAGGTGTTCATGCTTTTAAACTTCACTGCTTGACTCCGAGTCCCCTTGGCAACGTCATACTAAGCAGGCAGTTCAAGAGTACAGCAAGCAAAGGCCAGTCACTGCAGTCGGCTGTTCCCTTGAAGATGCAGTAACCACTACAGATGCTGATATGGAAGGGAATTGTGGGATTTCTGATGGTCATTTTGGCAGGCAGAACACGGATGCTCCTAAGGTGAGAATCGGTAGCCCTGAGATTACAAAGCTGTCTTGCCTTTGTGCTTCTTTGAGGGTTTGTGGTACTTGTGGACCAGTCGTTGGGCAGACACCGGTGCCTGAGGCGCATGCTGGCTAATTGCCAACCTGTGCTCAGCATGGTCCTGCGTAGCTTGTACAGGGTTAAACTGTAAACTAAGCGATCTTGTCTGGTTCCCTTGTATCCGATATCTTTCACATTGATTGAAGTCACAGATGACGGCCCAATGGGATGCATTTCTGTTTCCGAATAAAGAAATGTATCCGTTTCCACAAGCCACAGTCAGGCTATGTTTTGGTTTGGATCTTTGATAGCTTTTTGTCTACCGCGTTGTTGATGCTTAGGCGTGTGACGCTTGCTTCACATGATTTGACCACCAAACTCAACATCCATAAGCCAACATTCCGAGAAGAAACGAAGATTCGCGATTCCGAGTTGGGAATAAGGCTAAATTGGGTGACATTTTTAATTTCTCTGCTTACATGCTTGCTCGATCAGAGTTAAGTTCTCTCATTACAGTTCATGCTCTGGCTTTGTGGGCTTCGAGCCCATTTTTCAGCTGTCAGCTCCATCAATTCACGGGGACAATTCTTTCTTTTTGTGTGTTTATTTTTTTGGGCCACTAACTCAAGCGGATAACGTTGAGGAAAAGAGAAGGTATAAATTCCATTCTCTGCAATCTGCATCTTCGTTGGACGACATTATCATATGTTTATTGCAGCAAAGACATGTCAAACTTTTCGGATGTCTGCTCGCATTTTCATCCGATAATCTTTCTGTACTCGTACCATAATTTTCTATGCGCATGGATTCTTCTCCAGCGTATATTGCGTTCGCACCTAATGTTTGTTTACTCATTATTGTGTCAACTGTCGAGTCCTTCTTATAGTATTGGACCATTTAAGAAAGGTCCTTTCATGATGTTCAGCCGCTAAGGACCTTTTTCGATGATGCATGCCAAGCTTGATATGTCCCCATCACATCGAGATTAACTTGAATCGACAACACCAACAATAACAACGTGAATTTCATTCTTGGAGATGAATACACTTATAAAAGAACTGCATCGCGTACGTGTATAGAGATCAAGATCAAACATGATTAGTCATAGAAACAGCCTCTTTAATCGAATAACGAATTAAACAAGGTTGTGCAATCTTTCACACTCATGTACTGTGGTCATGTGCTGATAAATTTTAAGAGCTAGGACTTGAATTTTTGGTAGTGTGCCTTCGATTCGAAGTTCACTGTCGCAATGTACGATCCTAAGTTCAATTCATGTATTAATCTTGGATTCATGTGCGCATCGACGATATCGGCAGAATTCCAAATTTCCATATGAAAAGAGAGAGTTTGTGGAGTGATTTTAAGTACAAATAAAATTGGAAGGGTTGGTCAACATGAATTGATCGATTATTATAGAAGATATCGGAGTACTATGGAAATCCCAATATTTTTTAAGACAAAATAAGAAATCGTGGAAGCTACCTCTCGCACCCTACTGGGCAAAAGGGCTAAACCATGAGGAACTATTTTCCAAAAATATATATATCTCTCAAAGATCCCTGCCTTGTGAGTTGTGACACTAACGAAGACGAGAATACTATAAAAGAGAATTCTGACACTCCCGAGTTCCAAATGAAGTTCGAAAGAGCATGTAAATTAAGTAATACTTTGGATAAAGACCCACTCCAAAGGTTACCATCCGGATACTCCCAAGACTTGGCCCACAAAAATCTTCGCACTTCCCGATGGTTACCAGTCCTATTTTTTTTTTCTTAATATATTGTCATAGGATTCTTCACAACACTAACAAAAAAGTATGCCTGAAATGGCAAGCAACGGAGTATAATCCTAAGTGAACTAACTAGGCCCATGGCACAAACCAAGCGACACACCTTTGAGCTTATAACGGAGAGGGTGGGCTACCATCTGATAAAGCAACAAATTCCTTATGGAAGAATCCCAAAAAAGGTGGGTTCTGGCCATGTTGTGATATTCCTCATTGCACTACTTAAGTTCCTCCTGCAACTTCTTTATGGGACCAAATCAGCAAGCCCAAAAGCCTGTTTAATGCACAGATTTATTGCTAATTCCCCCACCCCTCCAAGCAAAAGACCACAAAATCTTCCATGGATTGGAAGAATTTGAATATCACCTTTTCAGGTTGAACAGGACATGTCATCACCCTTTTTAAAGAGGCACATCCCCTTTCTCTTTCTATGATCCTCTTAACCATCGCTTGGAGAAGCAAAATGCTTTCTTTAGGGCATCTATATATCTATCGGTGTTTTGATTCTCTACCAACTAGCAAGTGAAAGGAGCTAAAGTTAAAATTATGCTGTTATTTTCACCTTGTTGCTTGTTTTGCAGTCATCATGTGTTGCAGCAGGAAGCAACAGTACCCATCAACTTTTAATGGAATGTTCAAATATCTAGATTCAATACATTAGTCAGCAGAATATACAATAGAATTTTCATAGTCATTCCACATTGGTAAATTAATAACTGGGTTTATCTAGTATTATTTGCCAATAATTTAAGCTCTCGAGTAGAAAATTCTCTAACAGGGCACTAGAGTTAAGTTTCTATTTTTTCCATAACCCAATTTAATGCTCGATCTTCCTTGTGAGTTATTCTTCATCTGATTCTTCATTCTTTGAACTTAATGTGCTATTCTCATCTGGTTCGCACGTACGAGAGGTGGTACTGAGGTCATCATAGTTTGCTATACATACACACACACACACACATCCATCCTCCATCTGACAAGTTAATTTCTTGGTTGAAACTTCGAGTTAGCCTTTGGAGTGAGTTTTGCCTATTATTTTCCCTCTTGTTGTAGCATCAGAAATTTCACTGATATTCAAACCCGAAGTCTTTTTTTCATGGGTAAGTTAAGCATTTCTCATTTCAACTGCAAAGGTGGGAGGCTAACTCGTATAACGGATCAGCAATCCGATGCTTTAACCCACTATGAAAGCCATTATACAAAACACAGCTACAGTTTGTAACTTATAATGTTTCTATAATCTTTCACACGATACTAGTTTTCGATTAATGCAATACGACACTGGCTTAAGTTAATGACGGTGGCTATAATTCATAAGAAAAAGAAAGAATTGTACCGAGTATAGTTTTCCAAAGAGGCCGGAGAAAACGGTCATTTAAGACATAAAGCTTATTCTTGTTCCCTTCTTTATTCCCTATAAAACTACGATGAAGCTGCCTCCTTTTCCCGTTGTTTGTTTTTATCTTTATTTCATGTACGTCCCATGAAGCAAATAAAGGTTGTGCATATAGCTCTCTCTCTCTCTCTCTCTCTCTCTCTCTCTCTCTCTCTCTCTCTCTCTATTACACAGAAACACAAAGACATGAGCTATATCTCTAGTCTCATGTGCTCGCATAAAGAGCTAGAATATGGAATAAAACAAAGCAGCAAATTCCGCGACATCTCCAATTAAACAAAAACAATAGCATGGCCCAAGATGAGAGCTCTGTCTCTATTCCAAGGTTCCATTACTACCTGATCTGATTATATTTCAGACAGGCAAAATATTTTCTCTGAATTGGTATTTGGTGTAGAGTTTTCGGCGAGTGAACTAAGAACTCAAACCAGTGATTATTGATCCAAAAGATGAGTGTTCAGTTGCAAGTGTAGCACCCCATTATGTTGGTACCATCAGTCTGAATCTAATGAATTCTATTTACGAATTGAATTTCGATGACAATTAGAACGATGGTCCAGTTAACTTTGACTGATGACCTGCCAATCAAAGCATTGCTTGAGAAATCATTCTATGAAATCATGATTACTATACCAAAGGAAAACTATATCACTTACTATACATGCATGATTGACTTTGAACGATGATTACTGCCATGCATGATTCTAGCTCCGAAAGGTGGTAAAATATGTGAGTAAAACGAACAAAAGAAAAGCTTCACCATCATTGATCTTCACGTCTTGACTTGATTTTATACATAATAAAACTTGTGTTGACTCCACCTATCAACATCATATCAGCTAAGTAAGATGTGACATCTGTTCCATCCTGAGGCTATCGTGCATATTAAATGATGAAGATTATCAGAGATAAAAACTTCTCTTTATTATTAGCCGCATGTCCTACATAAAATCATTCATCTGAAATTTCTTTGTAGTAGTATTTCGAAATTAATCTGCTTACTATCAGGCTTGCATTAAATTGAAGTACTTTAATTAAAGAGTCCAGATTTTGAGCATATGTATAAACTTCTCTCTTCTGCACTTTGCTGCATGATCTCACTTCTGCATGGTTTTCTAGCTGGTACTCTTTATGAATTTCTGAGGCATTGCCATGCCGTTTGTTAGTTTTTAAACATCAAAGCCAAAATTTCCAACAGGGACTCCTGTCCTCATTTGTTTTCTTTCTTTTGCAATGCGTGGACAGCTCAAGAACGTATCAAGCATAGAGTGTCTCTCATATATCTATAGTAAGATTATACTGATGTGGTAATGCTAAATGTTAGCAAGAATAATGGAGTTAAAAGGAAAAATCCTCCCTAAAATATGATGATAATATGTGGTGTAGGATTTTATTAATTAAGTACTCAACTAACAGATATGTGAATGCATGTAGTTTTCTAGTTCTACGAATGGTGAGCTAGGGTATCATGAAAAGTGACAGTCTTCTCTTAAGTATGAAAAATTGGTACCCGAAAAGACTTGATTAGAAATACATGGTTGGCTTAATAATTTACCGAATAATTAGGTTGTTTCGCATCTACATAATTTTCAAACCACCAATAATGGACGGAAAAGAACAATTCATCCAACCTAAGATACCGCAAAGTAATTAACTGAAAAATTAAATGAGGCCACTCGCTAGTATAGCGATTTATCCATACAGATTTGCAATCGTCCGGAAGGAACGAAGAATATTGAATTACTATCCACAACATCAAAACAAGAAAGTGAATAGTCACAACATAATCGACAAAGTTGTCCTCCTATTTGTACAAATTATGTGGTATATTCTTTTGCTTCTAAATAAGGGTAACCAAAAACAAAGGAAGAGATTACACAAACTTCTTGAGAGCGAGGTAAAAAATAAAATAATGAGAGAATATAGCCACACAAGATGATATGGCAATCATGGCGGCACTGATTTTCATGCAGGGTGTATTTTTTTTTTTTTTTGCTTTATTGGGTCTTTGGCTTCTCCTTCGAAAATGTCAGTAGAGAGAGCAGCTTTTTCTTGGGAGGCTTCTTTCATTTTCTTTGGGTTTTTTTTTTTCCTCTCTTTTCTTTTTCTTTTCCCTTCTTTTTCCCTCTTTCATTCTCCTTTGTTTTCCCCACACCTTGCTTTCCAACATGGACAGTTAAACAGTTAGTTCTGGTTTTTTTAGAGAGAGGGAGAGAGAGAACCTTAATAACCAAAAAAACAAAAGAAGACAAAGTACATACTGTGTAGGTGTCCTTTGGTCTCTCTCTCCTCTCTCTTTCTCTAAGCTTGAAAGGAACTTGTTAGAGGAGGGGCTTCAAGTACTCATGATACTGCTGATAATGATGATGTCCCTGAGCGTTTTGTTTGGAACCCTTTTTTTTTCCTTCTTCTTCCTTTTCTGTTCCTTCTCTCTTTGTAATTCTTCACTCCTACCCATGATGATCCGGATTGTCAGGGTCGGGCCAGAAGGGAGAGTACTTCATCAACCACTCAGGTTCTTGTGGGTTTGTGATTGATGACTCCTGCAAGAGGTGTGAAAAACAAAAAGGTTGTGAAAGAAAAGAAAAAAAGAGCAAAGATAAGAAAGAAAACTGCAGGAGCATGTGGGAAAGAAAAGGATTAAAAAAGGAGGGGGTTTTGGCTCAGGGTTAGGGATTGTACGACCAACTTTTTCGCATGAAAACAATGGAGGAAGAAGCAGAGTTTGGTTTGTCTGTTGTTACGGAGGACATAAAAGCATAATTATTACGGAGAAAGAAGGCTGTCTAATCCTATCATCACTCCCTCTGATCAGCTGTAAATTATTGCCCTCGCAACCACATTGGGAAAGCTTCATTTATATATTATCTCCAAGAATATCTATTTGATATTTTGGAGTAGGCTACTGTTTCTTTTAGCTTCATTAGTTTTCTTAAAATTTTACGATTCTCGAGTTTGATTTTAATATAACAGAAAGCACTCGGTTTTTTTTTTAAGATAAGCAAATATTTGTATCTAACGTTATATATAACATACCCTAATGATTTTTTTAATCTAGCCATCAAGGCAAGCTTATAACATTTTACCAAAGAAGAACTTCAAAGAAATGATAGACAAATATAGAGAACAAACTCATGACAAATAAAAGCTTTTCCAAAAATTTCTCAGTTGAATTGCTTTTCATCACTAGACAATGCTAGTGTCAAGTTCTCTTAATTAGCGACTAAAATATTATACAGCCAATACTTTTTAATGAGAATTTTCATTTTTTCCGCTGTCATTATAAAAAACAGGCTTTACATATCCTACTTAAAGATATTGATATGTGTGCAGTTGGAATTTATATTTACGAAGCCTTTCTTGATTTTTCTTGATTGTAAATATCCATCATTTATCTAAAGTTCCCTTCGCAACTTGGTGGACAAAACAAAAACTCTTTGAATTAAGCACTAAATGCACAGTCTTGCCAAACTTTAATGTACGTCCTTAATGTTATTCTTTTCCTAAGGCAGATGCTGTTCAAAGCCTCGTATACCCTCGTCAAAATATGCTTACTGAGAAAAGGGAGGAAAGGGAAAAAGGAAGGAAAGAAAATAAAGAAAGGGGATTCTGGGGGTCTCTCTCTTTAAGCTTATTATATAGTTGTTATGACAAAAACAAGGGTTTATCTTCCTTCTTTTTGCTCTCTTTTAGTTACTTGCATGCATAGCATAGTGACACCTCAAGGCTCATGAAATTCAGAGTCAAAAAAGTGCTTCGTGTTCATAACTCACTTCTTTAATATCTGTCGACGATGAAGTGCATCCCATTATGAGCTCCTCCAGACCAGACGCTGACCTCCCTCCCATTTTATGATGTTGTTCTTGCTGCTGCTGCTGCTGTTGCTGTTGCTGCTGTTGCTGCTGTTGCTGTGTGTATTTTCATTTCATTTGGTAGAAAAAACGAGAAAGAAATCAAGAATTGAAAAAAAAAAGTTTGCATCCGAATCATGATAATGTCTTCAACAGGGAGGAGAGAGTGGAGAAAATGACAGTAATTGCTCCCAACTTAGCTGACATTTTGAACTAGCACAACTCACATGAGTGCAGTCGCAGTTACGATATAGTATTTGACACTAGACTGAGCATGCAACAGCAGTAAGCTAAATGAATATATAATTGTGTGCTGTGTTTGTGTGTGTGTGTGTGTGTGTGTGTGTGTGTGTGTGTGAGAGAGAGAGAGAGAGAGAGAGAGAGAGAGAGAGAGAGAGAAGCTAATGCAACCTCGAAAGAAGAATGAAACTATTGATCATGGGTAACTGAAAATTCAGCAGCTAAATATATATATTGAAAAGTTCCGGCATTTGGCACAACTTAACGCCTCTCGCATGTGATTATATAGATGGAACAAGAAACGGAAGTGGGGGGATTTAGAAAACTATATATGTACCTGGAATTCATTCTGGAGCATCATCCTCGAGACGTGGAATGAGTCCTCATCGAGAATGTTGATGGAGGCCGCTGTCTGGTGGAGAGGAGCAGGCGGGGCAATGATGGCGGAGATCGGGTGCGAGGGCCGGCTGATGTGGAATGCCGCAGTGGGGATTGGGTGGTGGACGTGGTGCTGATGATGGAGCTGATGATCATGGGGAGCCACAGGATGATGCAACCTCTGGTACTGATGATGATCTCTCATGTCCTCGCAGGTGCCGGATGCCGGGGCTTCCCTTGCGGTTGAAGCTTCTCCAATTCCCACCTATATGAAAAAGTAATTAACCCAAGTAAAACCATCTAATTGTGAACACGTTTTTTGGCTAACTAGTCCTTTTTCACACTCTCCTTATTCCCCTTAGTTCCACACCCCCCCCCTTTTTTTTTTATGTTGCTTTATTCTCTTCTTAAGTTGCTTTATTTCACTCTCTGTTGTGATGTAAACCTTGCGCTTGTCCAAGCAACAGTTCAGTTAGCTGATGGTGATTATTTTCCAAGTTGCATTTTATGTGCAAAACAGAAGAAAAAGGCTACCGTAAAATCATTTAGATGAGAAGCCCTTTTCGTTCAATTCGAGCAAACCTTTTCCAATCTTAAGATCCAAAAAAAATTTCCTAGTATGTTATCATTTATCTAGATTATGGTTTATCCAATAAAGTTACCAAAAGAATGTCGAACAAAAATTTAATTTCATACGACCAAGTTGGTCTTGTACATACATGCACAAAAATGAGTCATTTTTTGTTGGTTTCATAGGAGAAATTTCGTGATCAACCTATATTATCTCAATTTGAAAAGTTTTATTTGGTAACAGATTAGGATATTTCATCTTTCCTAGTAAAATTTTCCGAAAGTTTAACAACTTGCTCCATGTAAGGTTGAAGGGTATAGATTCCTTTTTTAGCCTTGGTTCGAGGAAAGCAGTGTCTATCAGAATCCAGAAGCTATATACATTGGTTCATATTTTTTTTGACTTGTTTGACGAAAATGTAAAGAATTTACCTCGTCGAAGCCTTTTCTAAATGGGATGAACCCGTAATGTTCCGATTTCAACTGTTGAAGGTCGGTGGTGGCAGCGCCGTAACTGGAAATAGCAGCGGTAACCGCGGTGATGACTCCGCTTCCGGGGATCTCATCCGTCCGAGAAATTGTCTCCTTCGAAGTAGAAGAGCTTCCGCTCCCACCGCCACCGCCACCTCTTCTGCTACTAGTGTTCGGATCGCCACTTCCTTCGGCGGCATGAGCGGAAGTGCTAGTGGCAGGAACGCTCCTCTCAGACCAGTTGCACTGCCTCGGCTGCGTCTGGTAAAATATCTTGGAAACCACGAGCTCCCCTTCCTTCTCTTCCTCGTGCTGGCCAAGATGGTATTGGTGCATGACCCAATTGGTCTTCTCGGGTTTCCGGTTCTTGCCAAAGTTGGTGTAGAGGACCAGTATCTTCTTGCAACCCTTCTGCTTGCCATTCACCATGACGGGCCTTGTCTTGCCCGTCTTGTGCCACCGCGTCTCGCCGCCTTGGAGGTCACACTCAGTCTGGATCTTCCGCCGCTTCCGTGTCCCGGTCGTGTAAGCCTTGGACGGCCTGTGGAAGAAGTGCCTGCTCAACCCATCTCTTGTCACTCCTAGGAAAGAGAAGAATTCAGACGAAAGAACACACAGAGAGACAGACACACCACCACCACCATTGTGTGCCCAAAAAGTCAAAGTTAGGTTGACTTAGGTATAACCAACTATATGTACATGTGCAAAAAAATTGCAAAGTCATAACAAACATGAATGAGGAAGAGGAGGAAGTTACAAGCTAGCTGGGCAATGTAGACATAGATAAATACCCTCCACATATAGTCATGTGAAATTACTTTTTTTTTATATAAATAGTATACCATATATAGTAAAAATTCAACATCTTTTGAGAGAGAGAGAGAGAGATTTCTTGAGAGGGTAGAGAAAATAAAGGAGACCTGGAAGTTTCTCAGGATGGGTGTAACAAATCCCATCCTCGCCTTCGATGGTAGGAATGAACTCGTCGATGAGAGGGTGAGATTTCATGTCCTTGGCTTCCACTTTGGCCTCGAGGTGTTCTATCAGTTCTTGGTCTGTCGGGTCAAATTTGACTCCTGCTGGTAGACCTAACCAATCCTGGAAAATGATAACACCCCTCAACTTTTTTCTCCCCCCAAATTCAAGTTAAATCACCACAAAAAAATTCAGCAAAAAAAAAAATAAAAATAGCGTTGGAAACGCAGCAGAAACGAAAACATATCGAGAGACATGGGGTTTTTTTTTTCCTTTACTTTTTTCACTGAAGTTCATCACTTCACTCTATCAAACACCAGTGATTTCATTATCTTGGCCCCAAAATGACAATTTCCAGTAATTTCATAATAAACGCTGCCAAAACTCTTGTTATCGTTTTCTTTATTTCGCATTTGCCGCGCCCAAAGAAGAAATAAAGATAAGAGAAAAAAAGAAGAAGAAGATGTTACCGGCTTTCCGTCGAGCTTGTGTCCGCAGCTGGGGCACTGTTTGGATCCGCAAATCTGATGCTCTTCGAGCTTTGCATCAATAAGATCAGAGCTGCTGATTGAACCCAAGTTACCGCTACTACTGTTATTCATCCTCTCCTCCTTCTTTATTTTGCTCTTTTTTCACGTAACTGCAGATACTATCTCTTCTCTTTTCTCTCTCTCTCCCCTCTCCACATATCTGCTTTCAAACCTCCATATCACTCCCTCAAGCTATGGAAAAATCCCTCACCATCAAGAATAATCAGCTCCCTGCTCGAAAAATCGTTGTTTTATCCGAAATAAGATGAACAGAAACTGAGTAAGATCAAGGGCAGTACTTCTAGAGATGAATAGACCAAGTAAAGACCGGAGACCTCATAAGATAGAAAGCTATGAATAAGATGATTATCACAGCAAAGATCAGTCTTTTTCAAGAATCATAGAAGAGAAAAGAATAAACTTAGTAATTGCATAAAACCTCACGAGTTTCTCTGGCAAAGAAAATGAACAAAATCAAAGAAGGCGCAAGTATTACATGTGCCAAAGCATGAAAAATAGTCTCTAGAAGAGAGAGAGAGAGAGAGAGAGGAAACTGTCGCAGCTTATTTGAGCTAGAAAACCTGCTTTAACATGGAAAGAGAACCAGAATTCGCTCTCTACTTTAACCGAAGCCAGTTAGAGAGAGAGAGAGGGGGGAAAGGAAAAGCAATGCTTCAGAACCTATACGTATCACCTTTAAAGCCCTTTGCTAACTTAACCTGAGCATGGAGGCGGTTTATGCGTGCAAGAGAGAGAAAGATGGAGAGAGAATAGGCTGGGGAGAGAGAGAGAGAGAGATGAAATCACAGTTCTTTTTTTTTTAAGTTTTTTTCTAAAGCCCAAGGCCTTCTTGTTGCATACCTTTGTTCCAAGCTAACCTTGACTGCTAAAGCAAAAGGCAAGAAACAGCCCTTGAAAAGCACAGTAACACATGAATTTTCCTTTTTTCCATTTCACTATTTAAACAATATACAGTAAGATATTTTTTTAGTGAAGAAAACCTAATTACAGAAAAATGGGAAAATTTGATCCATTCCTGCAAAATCAAGCTGTAACTTTTTTGCACTGCATGGAGTACCAAACATCTGTAGGTATGAGGATTTTGACGCTTAGCAGAAACAAAGCAAAACAACAAAAGTACTTTGCCAGCAGGAAAATTTCAAGCCTGGTCTGTTTGAAGATCCCGGGGAGGGTTTGAAACCTTCAAGCAGAATAAATAAAGATCTTTATATGGATGGAAACAGAAAAGATTGATTATTTAATTGAGAAATATTTGTGGGAGTGAAAAATAAACGGAAAAGAGATGATAGGAGGAGCTCACATGGGTTTTGAGCTGGAGTGCTGATCATGATTCTTTTGCCATGAATGTTTCAGAGAGAGAGAGAGAGTGAGAAAGAGAGAGAGAATTACAAGGTTGCTTCATATGCAAGGCAAATGAGCAGTCTACTTGATGGACCACCACCACCTCCCTCTTCACCTTGTTAATACTTCATTATAAAATCATAATATATTATTAGAAAATATCTAATGAGAGACGTCTACAGCAAGCACGGGTGATTCAGATTCTAAAAATGTCATCTAAACTCCCACATAAAAAAGAAAAATTACCCACTTTCTTTCTAACTACGTATCGTCGGCTTCCTTTCGGGATTTTTGTCGCCAGATTCGAAAAGGAGCATGAAATAACACAAATTTTAAAGTAAATCTTTACACGCTTCATGGAAATCATAATGTTCTGTGATAGAACGAGTGGAAGCGTGCCTTGGATATTTTCTCCTAACCCTTTCGATGAGCCTTCTCCCTTTAGGGCTTGTGCCTTGGATATTATTTCCATTCTTAGGATATGTTGCAGTGTTGGCCCTTCGTACATAATTGAAACTATGGACCAAAAAAAAAAAAAAAGAGAAGGGCATGGACCAGGGGGGCCCCACTTTACATATAAACGCGGGACCCACCTGTGAAATCTTGTGTGCTCTTGATGTTGTGCAAAATCAGATGATGGTTTGGGGTTCACGTTTTTCCTCCATCTTTGCTTTTGGGCGGTCAAGAGGGAATGATGGAGGGACCAAATAGTGCTTCTTGCATTCGCACAGAACAGATCAATGGCCATGATGCTGCCTTACCTTGTCTGAGATCAAAATTTCATTTTTTTACTTTATTTTTTATGCATTCCTTTGTTTTCTGTCAAAGGGTTGAGATTTTTTTTTACTAACTTTGAGCTTCGTTACTTGGGTTTAATTCTGTCTTTAGAGATCATAATTGGTTATTGCATCTGAAAGGAATGTGGATGGTTTGACTGTGGGGAGAGGCTATCTTGCAGATGATGTGCCTCGGTCCAGGATGGTTAACTGAGTCGTGTTTGATTTAGTACATAGAGATTATCTTAGTGATAATCTTAATCATTGCACTATTCATTCTTCGGCGATGATTGAAATCTTTCGTCGAGCTTCCATCCGAAGTTCGGTCGACTTGACCGAGTTAGCACCGGCCACTAAACATAGAGATTACCCTATAGCATATTTCTTTGTGACAACATTGATCCGCGTACTATTTTTTTATTGATGCTTCAAGAGCTTTTGCCGTACCTTTCCATGTGAAACTAAACGGAAATCTCGGGTCGGCATTTCGGACTCCTACATGCACAAGTTTCTACGATCAACATTAACAACCTTTTGAAAATGTTGCTAACTCGAAGAGCTTTTATATTGACCCTAACTAGTAGTTAGTCGAGGTTGATGGTCAAATTGACAATGTCTCCCCGCTACATGAACGAGTCCTCAAGTCAATGCGACGTGGATTTCTTGTCGCCCAACAGAACTAGGAGAAATGATGCATTGGTGTCTCTGATCTGCATGAGAATACTATTGGTGATGGTAGAGTGTCAAAGTTGATTTTACCAAACCTCTGCAGATCAAAGATAGCAGATGTTGACCAGCATTCCAATGCAAATGCATTGGAACATTTTAAATTTTCGCCAAAGAATAGTATATATTATAAAGATCAACATAATAGCAAAACAAAGCAGGGGTTAATATTGAACACTCTTCAAGTAGGAGGACTGAAAGCGCGATTAATTCTTTTGGTTAGGAAATTTGCAGCATTAGCACTAGTTTTTGAACATTCTGTACTGCATAGGAGCTATTTAAGAGGCAATTTAATTATAATAAAAGGGCATGTGATCAGCACCAAATGAACCAAAAATCAACGAGGATCCCTCCTAATTATTGTGACTAACTACTAATTCAGTTGGCTTAGTGCAAGAAATTAGAGGCTCTGATTAGAGAAATGTGAGCAAATAGTTTACCAGCATATAAAAACACAATGATGTGATGTTTTCAACCAATGATTGCCCTTTCCAATTAGAATATGACCATATTTCCTTTTTCCAAGAGAAAGGATTGCAATTGGATGACCAAATAGACCTGCGGGACAACTTTCACCGTCCGATTTCGATCGATCGCGGCTTTACAACAATATTTGCCTCCGATTCTAATCGGAAGAAACTTCCTCCGACCCATCTTCTGGTTGGTGATTTACAAACATGGACATTACCCGCATTTATATTTTTAGTTAAGTACATATATGGGTGATGTCCTCCAACTAAGAATAAAGGATAGGAAAACATAACCCTGGCTTAGTGTTTCTCAACTTCTTCTACCGCAATTTTTCAATTCTTATACTTTATGGGGTTAATATCACGAAAAACTTCAAACTAGAGTACCCGTGATATATTTATCCCAAACTAATTTTTTGATCACCAAAACCCCAAACTAGTACACCTGTGACAAATTTACCTTCCGTTAGTTTCCGTTAAATTTTACCGTCAAACTGTTGAGTTGGATGACACGTGGCACTTGATGAATATACCGATTTAGGGTTTTACTCCTCTGTTTGTCACAGGTTTACTAGTTTGTATTTTTTCGTGGTATTAATCCAATTTAACGAAGGGTATATTTGTCACAAGTGTACCAGTTTGAAGTTTTTGGTGGTCAAAAACTTAGTTTAGGGTAAATTTATCACAGGTATATCAGTTTAGGGTTTTTCGTGGTGTTAACCCTACTTTGTACTCTCTTTTCAAATTTCCTACACTTTGCAGTTTGCACCCTCTATTATTTTTTTTTTAACTCATCATAATCGGAGTGTAAAGTCTAGATTTTAGTAAAGCTTGATGTGCCAAGTGAATATTATATATTTGAAAACTCAGTATATAAAGTGTGGAACAGAGAAAGCTAGGGATTAGTTACTTTGATTCCCTAAAGCAAAGCTAGCCATGATATCTATTTCAAGGTATAAGAATATCTTTTTGCACTCATTGTATGTGTAGGTCGAAACTTTTTTTTTTTTTGTGGGCATATTTACAGAAGAGAGAGGAGGACAAAGATCAAGTTGAGAAACTCAGATTTCTTGATGTGAAACTCTATATCATCTTAGACAATCACATCATCTGTCTCAAGATTTGAGGGTGTGGAAAACAGGGTGACGTAGAACAGTCATTATGATTAGCCGAGATGGGGTTGATTAGGGATTCTCCCACTGGATTAGCCGATTGTCAGCTGACACCGGAAATTTCTACATCGATATAAAAACAAGGAGATATTTAGGCTCTGTTTGTTTTAAGGAAAATGAATGATTTTTCAAAAAAATTTCTAAAAACGATCGCTTGTATCGCTTACAAAAATGAATAAACTAAAAATATTTTCATCGTCCACTAAAATGTTTATATATAAATTATTGCCGATAATGAAAACATTTTTCATTGACTAATTATTTCAGGCGATGTAAGAGATTTTTTTAGGAAAAGATTTTCCAAATCATTCGTTATCCACGAAACAAACGGGGCGTTAGGCATAACAAATAATACAAAGCAACTTGCAAATTTGGGTAAATGACATTCAAAATTGCATGAAATTGACAATTAGTCTTAAGTGTCTACTGCGAGTTAAACAAATAAATTTAATTGTAATCTACATATTGAAGTTTATTATATCGATTATAACTAAATTTGATAATAGGTTATGCCATTTCAGTTTTTTTCCACCTGTTTACTATACGTATTTAAATAGATTGGATCATCTACTAAAAATATGAATTATTCCAAAGCACATTAAAATCAATTTGGTACGAGATCCAAGTTTTTTTAATTGGTTTGAGTTGGTTATCCAAGTAAATCAATCTAACTTGAAGCATAAAATGTAGTGATGCAATGTATAAATCCACTTCTATCGAAATTGCATTCACTTTATTTATAAGTACATATTAACAAGAGAAATCATATACTTTTAATTTATTTTCTTCCATGAATCGTCATCTTACTTTTACTTTTAAACAGTTGAAACAGTTATTTTCCCCTAACGTCTATTTAAATAAATGTTCTCTAAATTAGCAACGCAAGTGTACGTATCGAGTAAGTAATAAAGTGATGAATTAAAGTATCGTTCCCACTGAGATTGTAGACAAATCAATCAAATTACTTACTAAAGGT